AACAAAAACCCACTGAAAAAAAAAAAAAAAAAAAAAAAAAAAAAAAAAAAAAAAAAAAAAAAAAAAAAAAAAAAAAAAGACCATGCTATAACCAAGGCAGGAAAATCACGAGAGCTGCAAGTAAAAAGACAACTTTCACCTTAAGATGGCAAATGAAATAGCTGATAGGTGGGATGCCAAGGAAAAGAAAGCTGTAGCCAGGAAAGCTGGTGCCACAGCCACAGCCACAGTTGAAAAGGGTGACCCTAAGGTGAAAAGGCTCCAGACAGGGAAGCAGTGTCCTGGTTAGGGGAACTGGCAGATACTATCCCCCTGCTGTGTGTTCCAGAAAGTTCCAGCACAAGAGGAAGTACTCAGCTGCTAAGTCCAGGACTGAAATGTGGAAAACGAAAAGAAGATTCTGGTTACTGTCACAAAACTGTTTAGTTCTGACAAGAAAGCTGGTGGCTATGTAGTAAAGTTTTGCAGGATGCCTAGATATCCCACTGAAGGAAGCTGCTGAGCCATAGCAGAAGCCCTTGACCAGTGTGTGAGACAGGAGCACCATGGGCACTCTGGCACCATCCTTAAGGAGCACCACAGGAACAGGAGGGTGGATTTCCTTATGCTGCAGCAGAGGCTTGCTACATGTAACTGGACCATCCCCCTCAACTGAGTTCCTCTGTATAGAACACATCAGAAACTTGTCATTGCCGCCTCCATAAGAATTGGTATCAGCAGTGTGAAAAGTCCCAAATACACAGACGACGCTTCAAGATGCAGCCATGGCAGCCCAGACACTCGGACGATGAGATCTTCACCACAGAAAGAGAAATATGAGGTTACAGAACAGCACAAGATTGATGTTCTGCTTGGCAAGTTTTGCCAAAGATCAAAGCTATTCCTCAGCTCCTGGGCTACATGTAATCCATTTTCTCACTGACAAATGGAATTTGCCCTGACAAATTAGTGTTCCAAACTTCTTACCAAGAATCTAAGCAAACAATTGATTCATTACAACAAAGCAAACAAAAGAAGACAGCAGAGTCTCTACTTATTCCACCACTTTTGTCCTCTAACCGCCCTAACTATCTCGCACACCCCTTTCCAGGCTCTTCCACATATCCTCCCAAGAGAGAAATGTCCAAGAGGGGAGCAGAGCGCTCGACCTGACGCATGGCCAGGGGCACAACACAGTCAGCCTCTCCCTTTTCAGCATGGTGGGCTGGCCAGGATCTGAGAGTCCAGGGCTAGAAGGGCTTTGGAATGGAAGAGAAGAGACAGTTGTGAGGGCTGGAGTTATATCTCTCCACCACAAACCAGCAACAGTAACTACACCAGGAACCGGCTAAGATGAGAAACCTGGGATCCTGAAGACACGCAATCATTTCTCTTAGGATTTTTATCTTTTTCCTAAGGTGTGTGTGTGGGGGGAGGATTCTTTCTGGTTTGTTATTTTCTCAAAAGAGCTTGACTTTTGTTCTGATAATCAAGAAACCCCTTTATGTAAAAATCTTGGAAGAAGCTACACTCTGCTCCTGGCAAGGTGACCCCACTTCAGATGGTGTCTGCAGCCGGGTAGTGGCCATTTTGCTAGTGGAACCTGAATCGTAAGGTAGCAAAGCTGACTCAGATACATAAGGAGAAAGCCGGTGACTAATGTTACTCTATGTCCTCAAGGAGTCTGGGAAGCAGACAGTCAGTAAGCAGTGTGGTCAAGCTTTACCTCATCTGGCCCTACCTGTCTTTGCAGGAGCCCATCTCTGAGTTTCTCCGCTCCTAAACCACAGCCGTGCTGGGTGTCATCCCCATCCTACTGAGGGAATGGCGCCTGTGTACCCTGCCCTCAGCCAAGTAGTCCTCCCTGCAGATTGGGGGTGGGGGTGGACGGGTATATCCCCACAGTTCCATGCACAGGCCTCTATTTTAGTATGTGTTTTGTACGGTTGCTTATGTGTTCTATTCGGTGGGCCTGAACCTCTCTAAAAGCTGAGCGAATACCTTCCTCATCTGTCTATCTTCACTGTCTAGAAAAGAAAAAGCACACTGTAAGAGGTGAATGCAGGGATGAGTGAATGGATGCTAAATCCAGTGTTCAGAGGTGAGCAAAGCTAAGATCAAGCAGCCCAATGGAACATTAACCATGGCCATGGCCCCACAGAAAACAGTCTGAAACTATCTGACATTCCCGGCTGCAGCTAATGAGATCCAAGGCAAAAACTTGTCTGCCAGGACAGCCCACCAGTAGGTGGCCAGTCACTTTTCAGGTGCCTTGGCTTTAAAAGTCTATTTAAAAAAGGGCATTGGTGACATGATGACTCAGCTGAGGGCATTTCTCTGGTGACTTGAACTACAGTGACAGGGATCAGGTGGCGGTTTCAGAGTAGAAGTGAAACCACAGAAGAAAGGCAGGGAAAGTATAGAGTAGAACACCTAAGGGAACTTTGGAGGCAGAAACAGGAGAGACACTTGAGCTCAGGGGTTTGAGCCAGCATGGGTAGCATGCTGTGGGAATCCTCCTCTGTCATATTCCTCCAGACAGGCAGGAGTTTAGTGTGGATGAAGATGTGGGGTGCTAGAACCTCCACACACTGCTGGACAGCAGAACTGGAAGTGCCTCAAAATGAAACAGAGAGGCACCATACAACCTAGCCACTGCACTCCCATGTATACATATACGAGAACCGAGAAGAGTATGCTCACACAAAACTTGTATGCAGTGCTAACATAATATTATTCATAAAACTATTATTCAGTGATAAACAGTAAGTAAATATCCATCTGATAAATGATAAAGCTATGTCTGTGCAATGAATTATTATTTAGTCATCAAAAGGGACCAGGCGCTGACGCACATTATAACATGGGTGGGATACTGAAAACTCGCTGAGGGAAAGAAGCTAGATGGAGGATTACATATATTTATAGGAAATGAACAGCCTCAGGGCACATGCCTGAGGAGAGAAGGGGATGAGGAGTTGCTCCTAATGCATAACTCCTGAGCTCCACTTATAACGCTTGTGAATATACTAAATAAACCACTGGGTTGTAAAAAGAAAAAAAAATCTAAAAGCAATTTTGTTTTTAGGAGAAACAGAATTCTGTCAGATGCTGAGACGTTTAGCTTCCCTGTCATCAAGGGCTGGTTCCCCTATGATTTTTAGACAATAAAAGGTATCATTTGTATTTTTCCAACTAGTCTGCCTTATAGGCATACCACAATGTGCAATTGTGTGTTCTTACCCTTGCCAAATCCCCATCTAATTTTATTCTTATATTTGAAGGTTTTATATAAAATTGCTTTTTTTCTTCTCCTTGATCTCTTTTTTTTATGGGAGCAGAGTATAATAATTCAGTATAACCTGTTGCACTATTCAATTGTGAGGGCCACCATTCTTCTTCTCTGTCATTCAAGGTCAGTTTGCTTTTTATACCAAATTTTCATTTCACTTGTTATAAAGACTAAAAGCCAGAACTGACTGGTTACAAGAGGTTTGCCTCTGGTGAGTTGGCTGAGGTGAGGCAGGAGGCTTCAGGTACAGGCTCCTCAGCTGGGCTATTATCTAGCAGATATTCTGACACAAATAACTCTGAGATTGAGACCATGCTGGATAGGAACATAGTAACCACTAACAGACATAGTTCAGCTGGGAGGCACATGGGAAATGAGGAGCCAAGCTAGAAAAGTCATGCTAACATAGTGTAGTAGTTCTGAAGTCTCTCCAAGATTCCCAATGTTCATGTATGTGTGTGACCCTCCTTTCAATGCATCAGCTGCATCAGGTAACTGGGGAACACCAGGTAAATAGAGGGGGCTCTTGTCTTTGGGGATATTGCAGGAGATAACACTGCACAAAGATTTCTTGAGCTATTCCGGCTCACACTGGCAATATCACTGCACAAAGACTCCTGGGAAAAACATTGCTTGTGCCAGCTGCCCAGAGGTTATACAGATAAGTGCAGCAGGGTAGGGCCCTGCGGTATTCTGTAGGTTGATGGGACCACAGAAGAGGTCGCACTGGACTGGAAAGGTGGGCTGCTTTCCAAAGGACAAACTAGAGAGAAGGGATGCTATTTTAGATGGAGAACTTGTATGGAAATGGCAGGGAGACAAATGGCGCTCTTGGAGGGAAAGAAAGCAAATCCACTCTGATGAAGCCCACACTAACATAAAGGAACAAGTGATGACAGAGCTATGAGGTGGGAGGCAGTGGAGCCTGAAGACACTGAAGACCATCCAAGTTCCTGAGTGGAGGGATGCTGTGGCCAAAGAGAGCCTTTAAAGGATTAGAAGAAAGGAAAGGCCAGGGGACTACTCTAGTCTAGGGTAGAAATGATGGGTAGAAGAGGACAAAGCTACGAAGCAGATTGTAAAGGCTAAACTAACATGACTAAATTCTCTGCATTTCCACTTTGGTTATCCTAAGAAGTCTGGCTACTGCTATAGTCTACCCACGCTTGTGGAGCTGAAGTCATTCATCCTGCTAATGGTCCACTAATGATGCTATTAGGAGAGGTCAGATAGCTATAAACTGGCAACCTCAAAAACCACCTTCAATTGGATTTGAACTGGGTCCTGGTCATCTTCTACCTTCTTTGTGCTATTTTTCTAGCCGGTGTTGAAATGAACCTCTGATCTGAACTCACAGCACGCAAAAGGCCCCAGAGCTCCCAACAATGCAAGGCTATCTGCCCAATATTGAGTTCACAGTGGAGTCATAATGTGGATAGTTACTTTTGAATATTGTTGTAGGAAGAAGATTATATTTTGTTAAGCCAAGCTGAAGGAACATGTGCTGTGATATTGAATATATAGAAAGTGGCATGAATTTGTTCTCCTTCTTGGCCCCCAAACGAACAGCTCTCACCCTGGGGAGAGCATCTTCCTTGTATGGAAGAGATGCTACAAAAAAGCAGGTAGACACAGAGTACTACAAAGAAAGGTCGACACCACACATTAGCTTCTTATTCAAAACAAGGGTCCTTGTATCCAGTGCTGGCTGTGAAAACTGGTAAAGATCAGTTTTTCTTCCCCTTACAGCACTCTTGCTTCCCCAGTGTAAATAAGCTCTCGGAGGCAGTACACAGTTCGCGCCCCCCCCCCCCCCCCCCCCCCAGGTCAAATGGAAATAGGTTTGAAAACTGGAAAGTCACTTGCTTTATGAGCCTGTCCTTAGTGGCTTCCCAACTTACAGTTCTGTCTACAGTGGCTCCTCTTGCTTCCATCACATGAAGGTGGGCAAAGCAGGGGTGCTGGGTGGACTGGGGGAGATTTGGGGTATACCCTATTTGGTAGGCACCCTGAATTTCCATCAGTTACTGAGTCACTGTTCCATCCCATAAGGCACACTTCCCAAGACATTAAAATTTCAAGAATACGTAGATATGGGTAGAATTTAGGTGTGTGCAACCTGCAGCCCTCAGGTCACATGCATCCCTGGAGAGACATGAATGTAGCCCAACACATTTTCAGATGTCAACATGTCCCGGTGTTCAAAGGCTGGCTACCCCTGGAAGATGCTTACAGTGCACTCGTAGTTTTACATGAGTGTGCCCTTTCACCTTATCTGGTCTGAGAGAACAAAGGAGACCCCAGAATCTGGAGCATGATGATGGGGTGTCTTAGCAACCAACTTCCTGTTTGGAGCTGCAATTTGGGGAGGACTTAGGTTCCAAAGGAGATAATCCTTTCCTTGTGCCACTAGGGCTGCACATTTCTGTATACAGAGACTGCTCTTGCCCCCATCATGTAAAGTTGCCCATGATGGGGAGTACTAGGTGGACTCAGGGAGGGGGCTGGGATGCTTCCTACCTTGGCGGGCACCCTGAATTCCCCGTATTCTTTCAGCAGCTCCTGAGTCTCCTCTGTGGTCTCTCCAGTAGAGGTATGTGTTGAGAGGTAATACTCTCCTGTTTCTTGGATCCAGTCTAATGCCTGTAGGAGGAAACACCACCCCCAGTCCCCAGAAGGCAGCTGTCAGTAGGAAAACAAGTCACATTATGAGGAAGGTTTTTGGCTTGGGACCCAGGAAATGTGACAGAATGGTGGGGTGTGTTGCTCTGAGGGAGTTAGTTTTTAATTTTTTTTTTATTAATTTTTATGGAGACTCTCCTTAGAGTTGGAACATCCCACCACAAAGAATAAACTGGGGCCTATCACATTCCAGACCTGGTGAGTATCTACGTATTTATGTATAAACTGGAGATTATCATAGGTCAGACCCAGTGAATACCAGTGTCAAAGCCAGCCCATCATAACTCCTGGTGTCAAACTCAGTATTGAATGCCTAGAAAACCCAAATACTGACAAGGGGAAACCAGCTCTCCCCTTACTCTGTCATCACCTCTTCTCTTAACTGTGCCCACTACTTGGTCCTCTGTACATGGCCCAGCAGTGAGGCAAAGCCAAGGGAACTATGGACATACCTGCTTGGCACTGCGCTCAAACACCACATATTGCTGACACTGGTCTAGCCGACGCTTCTTCAAGGTCCAGAAGTGCAGGACACGATTTTCCCTCTGTAAGAGCTCACTCAAGATGGCTGTGGGAAGAGGAAGTGAGGAGCATCACGGGAAGGCTCTATACAAAGTCCCAAGTACTTTAGACCCACCACCAAGGGAACTTGTAAGCTCCCCTGTAGGACTAAAACAGAAGAAAGGGGACAAAAGCTGGAGATAGATATAACTCCCCAGGGATCTAGAGTGGGAGGGCATGGTGAGGGCCTGTTTCTGAGGATCTGTCAGAAACCCTGGACCCGGATTCCCTTTGCACTAGTCAGTCCTTATTGTAAGAGGCTTCGGAAAGTGAGCCCCTACGACAACAACTGACACAGTTGATCTGGAGGCTAGCAAGCATGGGTGGCTCTGCTAGAACTCTTAGGCATTCCTGAGGAGCTTCTGGAGGAGAGGCAGAGTGAGAAGGCTGGGAAGACATACAGCGAGCCCACATCATGGGTCACAATCTCAGCCCTGCACAGGAGTCAAACACATGGCACTTTAACAGCAGTGTCGCCGTTCTAAGCTGCAGAGCAGAGGGTGGGTGGAAACTGGGCTGCAATAGGGTCTACATTCTGACCATGGTGTCCCTAAGCCTGGCTCGCCCCTCATTCCAAGTCACTTCAGGCCTTCTTCCCAGCCTTCCTCTCCAGGGCTGTGAATTTCTGACTGGACAGGAGGATGTGTGTAAGACTCATTTCCTAAGTGAAGGCTAATTTCTGTATGGTAAGAGTGATCACTGAGAGAATGAAACGGTGACTAAGGCCAAATGTGTTCAGATAATAAACAATCTGAAAGGGTATATATTGTTCTTCATATACTCACAGACTTGTATCTACATATGAATACTGGTTCTGACCGTAGATTTGAGGGAACCTGAAATCCCCTTTCTGTTAGCTTCCAAGTGATATCAGTGTTGCTCAGCTGGACACCATGTTTTGAGTAGCAAATGTTTAGACAGCCTTTCTATTAAGCAGTATGGGCCAGGAATTGAAAATAAAATTTAAAAACTTGGGAAAATCTGTCTGCATGTTGAGAGACTAAGTCACCACTTGTTTCACACCATCCCATACCAGACTGTTTCTTCTTAAAGGAGATGCATAAGAGAGGACAAGAGGGCTAGGCACTCAGCCTGTTAAGTGGTGTGTGTGTGTGTGTGTGTGTGTGTGTGTGTGTGTGTGTGTGTGTGTGTGATCCATGCAACTGAAGCCTAAAGCGACCTGTGGTCTGGCAGGCTCCATACTCACCTTTTACTTGCTGTTCAGGTGCCCTGGTGTGGCTGGCAACACTGGGCATGCTGACATTGTTCCTGTGGATGTACTTGAGAAACACCTCAGCATTCCGCCGAGCCAGAGTGCAGGCCTAAGAGAGACAAAGGTGTGAGGCCCTGTCTCCAGTCGGCATGTGGAGTTCAAGACATGAGAAGTGTCCCTTTAAAGGCTTAAGGACTTGATGGTGATGAGGGTGCTGGAGGGATCCAGAGGGAGCGGAGCTCTGGAGGGTCACTTCTGTTTCATGGGGACACTAATTCCAAGTTAGAGGGCTCATGCTCTGAGCTCTCTTTTAATCAAGTGCTTCTTTTTCTGTGTCAGACGGAATCAGGAAACAGTCAGGCCTTCACTATCTATCTGCTGACTGGTCATTGCTAATGTTTACGCCCAGGCTGGTTTCCTTCTTCTACAAGAACACCTCTTTCATGACTACTGATGGAAGCCCAGGGAACAGAAACCCACCCACTTTAGCTTAGTACATTTAGCAAACACACTTGATAACATAATTCTAAATCTAAATGCAAATTGCCAACAGTTTTCAAATTTATTTGATGGCCAATCACAATCCCCTTACCTAAATAACACCAACAAGTACTCTCTTATTGGGAAATATTAATCTCTGTGAAAGAGTCGGAGCCATTGAAGGCTGCCATCAGCAGTGGTGGGCGGAGAGGATAGACCACCTTCTCCCAGAGAGGGCAGGCCACATTCTCCCAATGAGTAGGACTGGGGGCTGAGAAGAGCAGCAGGAAGGAAGCACTTCAGATCCAGAACCCAGACCTACTGACAGAGTGTTTCTATTGTCCCTTAAGCCTGCAAATTTATAATTTTTTCTAAAAAGCAGTCGTCTCTATAGCTGTCAAACTAGTACATACTTGCTTACTGATTTTAAATTAATAAATTATCTGCAGTGATAATAAGTTATAACTGTTAAATTTTAAAATAATTCTTATACTTAGCTTTTGATCATTCAAATTACATAACCAGAATGATTGTTATATAATAAGTATAAATACAACTTTTAAGTTGATGGGAACTCAAAGGCTCATGAAATTGGAAGCCATTAGCAGAGGTCCAAGGCTAAGGACTTCCAGATGGTTCAACAAATGAGGATAAACGGAAAGCCAAGCACTGTCTGTTGGGCAGTGATTTTCCACAGTGATAGGGAGTTTTCCTTCACACCTTTAGGAATATATAAAAAACCCATTAGTCCAGATGGTTTTATTTCTTCTTTAAAGGAATCATTTAGGGAACAGAGAGCAGAATTGTGGCTATTAGGCTTCAATGTGGGTCTTTTAACAATGGGGAAACTATTGGTTTAAGGATATAAAACTGCAGTTGGACAAGAGGCATGGACTCTGTGATGTCTTGAGGTCTACTGAGAGCATGATAAATATGGTTGATAACAATATGCTATGTTTAAAAAGTTGTGAGATAGTATACTTTAAGTGTTCTCAAAACAAAAATGATGAATATGTGTGATATAACATGTTAATTGGTTTAATTTAGCCATGTCATTGTGAACATACTGTATTATGTATCATAATTGTGCATGACTTTATTTATGAGCTAAATAAATGAATGGAAAAATTAAAATAAGACAAAAGATATAGTTATACAAAGATTAAATGTTCAAAATTGGTTTAAATTATAGGAGTGTGTTGCTGAGAAATTTATAGTTAAGTCATAGTGAATATTATGGTAAGAGTTATAATTTAATAAAATGAGAGGAAATTCTAAAAAAAAAGAATCATTTAATTTTATGAAGAAATAACCTTTACCTTTCTCTCTCTGTGCGTGCGTGTGTTGTGCACATGTATGTGATGTATTGCGCAGGTGTGTGTGCAGGCAGGTGAGGAGGCTAGAGGAGGAGCTTAGGTGTCCTATTTCATCGCTGTCAACCTTGTTCTCCTGAGACAGTGTCTCTTACAGAACCAGAGCTAGGCTGGCAGCCAGCAAGGCCCAGCGATACATCGTTCTCTGTCCTCAATAGCGCTGGGGATATGGAGCACGTGAGGCTATGACCGACTCTTGACATGCATGCTGGCAATCCAAACCCAGGCCCTTATGCAGCCACTCTTCATTAAGCATTTCCCAGTTCCCCCAAATGCTTATAATATAATTTTATTTATTTTTATTTCATGTACATTTGTGTTTTGCCTGCAGATATGTCTGCGTGAGGGTATTAGATCCCCCAAAACTGGAGAGACAGGCAGTTATGAGCTGCCATGTGTGTGCTGGGAATTGAACCCAGTTCCTCTGGAAGAGCAGCCAGTGCTCGTAACTGCTGAGCCATCTCTCCAGCCCCCCAAGAAATACTTTCATTACTTTACTTAAAATTCTTCACATGAACCTTCGATTGTTTTAAATTCTGTTTTGTAATGGAGAACACTTTTAAATTATTTTAAGCTCTGTATGGGAACATGCACTTATCTATATTAGTAAAAGCTACTTATTCAGGGCTCTGACCAATACCTGTGCAGATATCAGACACAAGGAAGAAGGAGGGTGCGGGGGCAGGGTAGGTGTCTTAGGAAAGGAACAAAAAGATTTGGTGGTCAAGATCTCTAATGAAAAAGGTAGCTAGGATTAGAAGTATGGTGGCGTGGCAGGGTACACAAATTCTCTTTCATCTTTTAAGGACTCCCAGAGGAAGAACATGAAAGTGTGAGGTTTGCAGGAGGAGGGGAGAAGCCTGCTGAGAGAAGACCAAAAGCTGCTGGGAGACATTCAGAAGGAGTTTCCTTTTCCACTAAAAGCCCAAAATGCAACAGGGCTGGTTCTCCTCCCTGAGACACTAGGGCTGTATCAGAAACCCCCAGGAAATGTGTTTCTGCTTGTACACAGAATAAGCATTGTGATATTTATCGTTAGTTGAAAATTGCTAGGCTGATAAATAGTATCTAAATTTATTGATTAAAAGATTCATTTTAATAACTTTATTAAGTAGGCTTATGCTCGTCAGTCAAAAGATCATTTCAGGGTTAGGGTTATTTATTGTTCAATCGTAGAGTGCTTGCCTAATAGGCGTGGGTCCCTGTGTACAATCCCTAGCACCACAAAAGAAACAAAAAACAAATTATTTTTTATAAATTGAATGTGAGTAGAAGCATGTGACCATAACCATGTGACACTGGAATACCCTAACACTGCAGTGGCAATAATAATGTTTCCTAGACCTCACAATACCAAAAGTGTCAAAAAGGGAGTGAGTATTTAGAGTATAATCTTAGGACTTTATGAATTAACTGGGAGATAGGTCTTCAGCAACTTCCTTCTTTACATAAGGGACAGGAAAAACCAGAGGCACAGGAAGTCAAGATGAAGCAGTAGGTGGGTGCTGGCTGGTGAGAGGAGAGAACCAGGCTGGGTTCTGAGACCGCGTGTGGCAGTGTGCTCTGACCTTTAGGAAGGCTTCCTTCTGTTCTAGATGCTTGCTGAGGAGTGGGATGACATGGTCCATCTCTGCCGCCGGCCCCAGCTTGTCTCGCCCACCGCACCAGTCCTCGTCTCTCCGGTACTCCTGCTCTAGGCTCTCCAGAACACTGCACACCTAGTGAATCATGGCACAAAAGGCTCAGTGAATGAACTGCTCAGCAGGTGATCTCTGCAGACTTTAGCTACAGAACTCTACACTGACACTGGATGTGAAGGTCAGCCTGCAGATTCAGAGTGGTCACCACTGCCGAGATACTCTGAAGAGAGGTTTTGAGAACCTTGTGACTGGAACTTGGACTGTAACTGGAGATGGAGATTGTGGAATTATCCTTTACAGATGATGCCTAAGCTACAAAGGCTGATCATTTCACTCAGGAATATGATGAAGAATAAGAAATGAAGAAACTGGTTGGATATTTTGGGGGCTTCAACATGATGTATCCTATTTATACACACATGATATATCACATACATATTTATGCATATGTCAAATCTCTTTCTCTCACACACATATGTATGTAGACATAGATTATATTGTATAGCTGTATTGTTGTAACCTCATGATAATTATGAACTATGTAGACCAGGCTTGGAGACGATACTTGATGGCGTGCCTTAGCATCTGTCCTTGTCTGTCAGTCAGGAGCCTCAAGCAGTGGTAAAGGGGAAGCTGACTCTCTTGTGTGATTTATGGATCATAAACAAGAGTCATCTTTCTACTCCCCTAGGGACAGATGTTCAAAGTCCTGCCATAAGGTACTGACATCTTTAGGACGTCTATTATAAAACCACATTTCTTTCTGAGGGAGAATACATTTGTGTTAACCTCTAAGGCGCATATATATATATATGCTGGTGATGCACTTTTGTATATATCTTTCTGTTATTGGTTGATGAATAAAACATCATTGGCCAGTAGCTACCAGACAAGGAGAATGATGAGATGCCATGCAGTTGTTGGGAAGATAGGATGCCAACATTCTCTGGTAAGATAAAATCATGTAGAAATACATAGATGAATAATTATGGGTTAATAATTAAGAGAGTGCTAGACAGTAGGAAGTCTGAGTCATCAACCAAACAGTTTACAAATAATGTACGTCTCTGTGTGTTTATTTGGAGCAAAGTGGTTGTGGGACCAGGAGGGACAGAAACTCTGTCTACACCTCAGAAGAGGACAGAGCATTCAAAGAGAGTTCAGAGGGAGAGTTAAGTTGAGAGTTATGGTGGGAGTCTCATTGAAGCCTGGTATCATTGCAGGAAGGGTACAGAAAATAAGAACTCAGCAGACACTTGCCTAGCATGCAGAAGAAGATAGATTCCATCTCTAGTGTGGCAAAAACAAACAAGCAAACAGAAAGCAGAAATCTGAACTCCTATACTTTCCATCAACAGCATTGGTTACTTGTTGGACACAGAAGCAGGGGAGAACACCTGCAACCATCCTGGCCTCCTCTGAAGAAGTCACTCCTCTTGGGAAACAGTGTATTTGTTTTTGAGACAGGGTCTCATGAAGCCCAGGCTAGCCTTGAACTTACTATGTAGCTAAGAGAGTCCTTGACATTCTGATCCAGGGCTTGCTAGGCAAGCACTCTACTAACTGAGTCCAAGGATGTGGGTTTTTGGATCGAGTTATGAACTCAGCTGAATTATATATCAGGCAGAACCCACTCTTCACAGCCACGCATGCTTGGCATGTCACAAGAAATCTGTCCCCGATCTTGAGGTGACTTGTCTAGCTCCTTCTTTGCTACTTTGTTTAACATAAGACACAAAGCATGCAGGCAAGCTTGTGTCTTGAGACAAAATAGGTAACAACATGCGGAAATGTTAAGACTAAGACACTTGAGCTCTGTTCCACAATAGGACTGAATCAAAGACTTGAAGTGCTCTTGTACAGTAAATTCTGGGTTCTTTTCTCTATGAATGAGTTTTAAGTAGCTTCTGATCAAGGAGGATTGAAAACACATAAACAAAATGAATGCAAGGTGCAGTTTGGAGTCTAAATATACCAAATTCAGTCAAATCCACTAGATCTTAGATATTTAAACAGAAAACAAACTAACTGAGTCCAATGTGTATCACAAGTGTGCGGGTAGCTTGCCACATGGTGTTATTATGACAATGGCTGACTGATAAGACTGCTCAAATCTAGCACTCATCACACCCAATTTCTACTTCCTATTGATCTGATGAGTTTGAGAAACTTATGGAAAAAAAATCACATGGTTCCTTGCTGTAAAGGGGAGAAAAAAGATACAAAAGCCAATGACAGTGTTCCCACAAGCCATTGCTTTGTTCTCAAAGGTTGGTGCTGACAGGCCTGGCTTTTTGATGCTGCACCACAATGTGAGGTAGGAACAGCCTCTTCCATCTTCAGCTCACACCTCACAGACGTCCCCCTCACCTGCTCAGAAGTCTTGTAAAAGGCCACAGAGGCGTTAACTAGTTTCAGCCGGTCTTCCATCTTTAGCATGAGCTGCTGCCAATGGAGGGCCACCTTCTCAGCACATTCCCGGATGGCATCAGCATCGTAGTGTCCGGCCTGGAGCAATGCTTCTGCTTTCTGCTGTACCTGCAGGGCGCTCTGGTGCGTCTTCTGCAAGGAAGTGGCGTGAAAGAGGGACTGGGCGCGAGGGGAGGGGAGAGAGGTCCATGGGAGCGGCCCAGGTGTGATATGGGAGGGGGTGGAGTGAGGTGTGATTGGAAAGATGCAGAAAAGTTAAAGAGCTTTAAATGACTGATCCACTTGTCGTAACGATTAATATACATTATTGTCTTTTAAAGCACATTTAAAAAAGGAAATCATACATTTTCATTCGTCTCTCAGGCCCCTAAATCCTGACCCCATTCTTAACTTTCTACTTCCATTACCCTAGATTTTTAAGGACATTTCAGTTCACATAGGACAGAAACAGAAGTTGTGTAGAAACCTGACCATTACTTCAATCTCCTTTTCAAATCTAATCCTAAATGATAACGGATGCAGCATTTTACAAATTAAGGAAGCACGTGCCCCCCCGCCCCATGTCATGCAAATCTCAGCTGGCAATGTACAATCTTAGATATTAATAATCAATTGAAAAGGATTATGATAGAATGGGTACACTTGGCTGGCAGGCACTAGACCTGAAGAGTGGCCTCCTTCACTGACCACTCATCCCCAACCCCTACCCCACGGCTTCTTCACCAAAGAAGCCCAGAAGCACTTAAGAATGAGCTCAAAGTAGGGTCCTTTTGCTATCTACAAAGGCTTTATGGTTTCTGATTCTGGTTAACTGTACCTTAACTGCAAGAGGATGGGGGACCTGGCTGGACAACTAGGTGGCAGAAAACAGACAAACAACACTTCCCCACCCAAAATGAGGCTCAAGCTTTGTAAGACAAAACACAGACTTGATTCCTGTGCTGCATTAGTTTTTTGGCAACTTGTCACAATCTGAAGTCATGTGAGAGGAGGGAACCTCAATTGAGAAAATATCTCCATAAGATCAGGCTACAGGCAAGCCCATAGGGCATTTTCTTAATTAGTGATTGATGGAGGAGAACCCAGTCAACTGTGTAATGTGCTATCCCTTGGCTGGTGGTCCTGGGTTTTATAAGAAAGCAAGCCACGATGAGCAAGCAGCCAGTAAGGAGGACCCCATTATGGCCTCTGTGTCAGCTTCTGCCTCCAGGTTCTTGCCTTGCTCGAGTTCCTGTCCTATCTGCTTTAGATGATGAACAGTGACGAGGAAGCTTAAGCCTTTGCGTTTCCTCCCCAAGTTTCTTTGATTATGGTGTTCTATCACAGCAATAGTAACTCTGACTAGGACAATCTTGTGAGAAGGTCAGAGTGCTACTGACTTGGGAAAGTCATTGCAACGTCAGCGGCAACCATTAGCCTTCCAGCTAACAGGGTTGGCTCAGCTTGTGGTGGAAAAGGGTAGCTAAAAACACAGCAACACTCCAGAATTCCTTTCTACTCTGCTTGGACAGCAGGGCAGAGATCATTCTTAATAGGCAAATTATTCAGCTATCTTTGGGTCTGAGAGCAACCTCACTCCTCTCCCTAGCCCTCACCACATCTGCCTTTCCCCCTCATCAGACTATCCTGTACATTCCTACTTACTTTGCCCAGTCTATAAAGCTCCCATCCCCCCGCCCCCCAAACCTGCAGAACCTTCACTCCTGCATCTCCACCAGCAATCCAGGCCCTTGTGCCTTTGCCTTCCTCCTGAGAGCCATGGTCCTGATGACTGTGTCATTGCTGGGCTCCTCACTGCTAACCAAAGCTGAAGAAAGTAGACCAAAGAGCAGAGCAATCCCTACAAGTCCCTGATTGTCTTTGTTTTACTGGCACTGTTTTGTTTCCTAAACATAGAGGTGCCAAGGTCTTCCTTGGCTGACTGTTAGCATTGTCAGAGCCCTTATCTACTCCCTGGGCTTCAGTTAGTTCCTCTCTGAAGGAGGTTCCCAGTGAGCCTCCTTTTACTGTCGGGAACATCCTCTGGAATTGTCTTCTCATCAAGGGAGCCCACCTCTCACCCTTCTGAGGCGGTTGTTGCCATCTGATGTGGGTGGATGCCAAACCCCTAATAGAAGCCAAAGCCATCTCTTTAAATTAGTTCTCCAAAGTCACTGCTACTTATGTTGGTGGCCTCCTCCTAATCGTTTTCCTTGTCACCTAGAATTACAATCTTGACCTCATCCCTGACTGTTGCTTCCTGCTCCTCCAACCCAACCCAGCGCTTACAGCTTCATATAACCACCTTTATGGTTATATGGAGGAGAGATGGCTAATTTTCTGGCTTCTAGCTCTAAATCCACAGACCCATCCCTCACATTTCATTTTTCTTTGCCTTTTCATGTGTGGCTCTAGGATTTATGTTGGGGTCCTGAACATGCCAAGCCCACATTCCACTACTAAGCCACATGCCCAGTTCATCATGGACATTTTAGGCAGTTTCACTTAATCTGATGGGATATGAAGTGCTTGTATTGTGGTGACTTATTTCTTTTCGTTCCTAAAGCTTTCATCTCAGTCCAAAAGTCATCAGTGGCTTCCTCATTGCTTCAAAACTAAGTCCAAACTGGCTGTCATGACAGCCCTCCACGACATGGTGTCTGTAACTGCTTCACAATACAAAGTACAAACCCTCTGAAAGCAAACTTTCCTGCCTTGCTCTTCCTTCTTCCTGTTCTTCCTAAATGTCCCTCAGCCCCCTGCAAGCCCACCTGTCCTTTGAAACTCGTCTCAAATCTGCCTTTCCTCAATGAGCCTTTTCTAGTGGCTTGAAACTCTGGGAACACCCCTTTTCCTTGACCTCCTTTGTCACTTAGCTAACTCTTGGAGAGTTCCAGTTGCTTAGAAGGTAAAACTGTTACAGTGTGTGTGTGTGTGTGTGTGTGTGTGTGTGTGTGTGTGTGTAGGGTGGTCACTCAAATGGCTGTCACTTCTCCAAGGCTGTGTGTGCTCTGTGCGGGGCCCTGCGATTATGCATTGACTTTCTGGTTCACACAACCCTTCTATAGGTGATTTTATTTCCATCTCAGAGATTAAGACACACAGGCTAAATGACTTGCCTCAAAACCTACAACAAAACAAGTGATAAAACCAGACTCAGGGTTGACCTATTCCCAGACTTATATTCTTTTACAGCACGTTACTTTTCTCTTGGATTAGAACAGAGACTACAACATTTCTCATCTGGAGAAAGGTTCTTCAGATGAGTGTCGGTGATTATGATAATTATCTCTCCTGCCATTAACATGTAAAACCAGCATATAACTGTCATCATAAACTTGTTTTACTGTTTTTTCCTCAGAGAGTTCGGAGCAATCTTGACTTTTCTATAATTTGTGTCATGTAATAAACTCTGCCCCTTATTCTGAAATTCATTATTCTGTAACAGTCCTGAGCCTGCTTTCCTTTTTAATTTCCTTAATGATAAATTCTTATCCGTGAGGCATAATCTTTGCTTTGCTAAGCTTAAGCCATTATTTTGCATTTACTTTTACTTCTTATCATCTAATCCTATTGAGTGTTACAGTTTTAAGATGTGGATTATCAAGGACATTAATATTTAGTAGGTGTTAGTGCTAGAAAATTGAACCAAATCAATTGAATTTATTATCCAGTTTTAACCACTTTTCTGGTATAATATTTATGCTTAAATACACAGGAGGAGTTCAAATAAAATTGATTTTAAAATTGAGCTTCTCTACGAAGGTCACAATTTTTGAAGACACATCAGTATATTCAAGGCATCAACAAATAAGAATCCAGTTTGCAAATAAACTACACTGCTTTGGGACACTGTTTGGTTCGCCATTTGGAATGTTCTGGGGACAAATCCTGACCTTTCCAGGAAACTATCAGAGCTAGGCTTAGCATTATCCTGGCTTGGCCAGGACCATTCCGGTGTATGACTGCTTTTCTAACTTAATTATCAGTAACAACCCTCTCTTTCACTTTTCCTTTTGTTTAGTTTGAGATAGTGTCTCTCTGAAATCCAAGCTGGGCCTGAGATCCTCCTGCCTCTGCCTCCAGGAGTGCTGGGATCAGAGGAGTGGTTACCACACTTGGCACCCACTTCACTCTTAAAAATGTCTCAGTTTACAGAACAAATTGCATCACCATCTCACCAATACTATTTTATTTTCCTTATGGAACCACTGAACTTTCTTAGGTTCTCTTCTCCACACCCCCCCCCCACTCCAGCAGCCGGCACAAAGGCCTTCGGTAACCCTTGCACATGGAGAAAGCCACATTAGGCTGTTATCCTCTCTTTAAAATGGCCTGCATCTGGCCAGGTGTAGTGGTACATGCCTATAGTCCCATCACTCGGGAAGCTGAACATTAGGACAGCCGTCAGCTTGAGTCCTGCTTATGCTACATAGTGTATTCAGGGTCACCCTGCCCTACCTAGAGAGACTTTGTCTCTAAAAACATTGCTTACATCCTCTTTGACATATTTTACTCCTGACGCAGAGCCCAGTCTAAATTTAGTTTACAGAGGACCACAGGCTGCCTGGAGAAGGGACATATGGATAATTCTGGCTGTGCTCCTTGTTCATATAGCTATACCATAACCTGATAACCTTCCATTACCAAGATGTTCTAATAATTCTATCTACTCTGCTACCTTTGAGATCACAGACACCAACCCTAGAGTGAACAATAGCATAGCATCAATTATTAACTCAAGTAATACCCCCACAAAGCCCCAGGTTAGAAGACATTTATCCTTAGCCAGGCTCTCCTATGTAGCAATGCAGCAGCATCTCCTGCAAGTGAACATGTATTGCATACAAGGAGGAAGATGGCCAAGAGTTATCTCTGTCAAAATCCCTTGCAACTTCATGTAATGCCCCTAGTGTGTTGCCTATCCCTCACTGCTGCCTAAGTCTATAGACCAGTGGCTCTCAACCTTCCTAATGCTGTGACCCTTTAACACAGTTCCTCATGCTGTGGTGACCCCCAACTATAAAATTCTTTTGTTTACTACTTCATAACTATTATTTTGCTACTGCTATGAATTGTAATGTAGATATTTGATATGTGACCTCTGGGAAAAGGTGTTTTGACCCCCAAAGGGGTCTCAACCCAAAGTTGCTATAGTCACTTGGCCGCTAGGTACCTGATTATAACCCTAATCTAGGTCTCTCCTGAGGGGCTCTACCATCACGGATTTGGCAGTACCAGTAAACTGTAACAGATATAAAGATCCTTGCTTCTGGATAACTCTTCTCCAGCAAGTGATTTGCTTATACTCTTATGTGCAACATATTGTTTGCTTTTCAGTCTCAAATCATGGACAACACTTACAGACTAACAAAAGTTCCTAAGAAGATATCAAGCATCTTATGGAAGCAGGCCATTCATCTTAACGCCATGTTTATAGGCATGAAAGATGGCTTCTGGAAAATCAAATGGCTGAATTCAATTAATTTTAGTTTATAAAAGGCTAGTCATCAGTAGGATTGCTACATTAAAAGACATTTATGAGCATAGATAATTAAAATTCATCATTTTTCTGCCATCATGATGTAGAAAGTTTTGCTAGTGGTAATTTTAAAAGAAAATAGCCCGTTTGTAGTTCCGACACACTCAGAAGCAGGCAAAGTTCTATACTGAACCACATGTAATAAGCATCTGAGATTTTCATTCTTTGTCTCTTTCCCCACTGGTGCTAAACTTATTTTGTCTTTAATATAGTTCAATGCCCCATTTCTATTCTTTCTCAGACACCACTGAGAAGCAATCTGCTAAAGACTCTTTGGGAGGAGAGGGTCCTACTAGGAAGATAATTGAAGATATTATTTAAAGCAAGGCAACATTATTTTATCCTCAGAGGAATTTTCTTTTAAAATAAGCTTTTAAAAAGTCCCAGTTGGTAAATTTCTAGTTGCAGTTTATTCTTCAAATATGGCTTCTGCCAGAAATACTGAACAGCCGCTTTCACCATGCAAACTATGTGGTACAGTCTGTTGCAACCCTTGTGGTCCCTGTAAAAAGCCAAACTCTAATTTAGAATCCAAGTGTTTAAAAGAGTTAATTCACTTTACTATTGACTTGCACACCTGTTTATTCTCATTTCTTAGTGTCTCTGTCACCTTTTAGTTTGTAATTTTCACCTGGTACATAGTTTGTAATGGGTTAAAAACCTCACTATACCAGGGCCTTAAGGCACCCTGAGCAGCAAAGATTCTCATTTCAAGTATGAATAGACCACTCCTGATACCTTGGGGTAGAAAGAAACCTGCACTCCGAATACCTGAGTGTGAAGGAGGTGCCTGCACTATGCCACTAGAAAGAGCAAGAGCTCCACCACCTCAGGGAATTCTGACATCTCAGACAGCCATACTATCTGAGGCCCAGAGTCAAAAAGGAGAACAGAAGACAATACATCCAGATTTGGGTGTTACCTCGATGGCTAGTTGGAACTGTTCATGCTCCCGCTGTAGCTGCTCTGCCTCTGACAAAGAGCTGGCATTGACCAGGCTGGCGTTGAGCATTGACTCTCCATTGCGGATCCATCCCAGAACCTAGGGAGGTGGGACAAGCACACAGGTGAATGGCCCCCGGCAATTTCTCCAGAGCTGTTGCCCTCCCTATGGGTGCTTCAGTCAAGGGGCTATCTTGTGTTCTCTGTCAGAGAGAGGACAGCAAGGATCCTGGCCAGTTATCACCCCCATTTTCCCAGTATCTGGTGTCATAAGGCATATACTTTATGAAGCAGCTTTCTTCTCAACTCAACATGCCTCTTCCTCTGTAGCTCACTGCAGTCCCAATGTCCCCACCAAATTAGTCAACATTGCTTCATCTGCCTGTATTTTATACATGCCTAAAGTTCTAGAGCAGAGAATGCTATCAACACATTTCATGTGTTGGTATTTTTTTCTTTCTGTTTTTATTTATTTACTGAAAATTTCATGCAATACATTTTGGTCATATTCTTTCCCCTTCCCTAACTCTTTTTTTTTCTGTTTTTAAAGGGCCCAGCTCAAATAACAACTTCTTGAATTGGTTCACACTTCACCCTGCTTGTTAGGAACAATCTTTCCTTCCTCTGGTATGGCAGTGCCACTTTGTATCACTTTAATGTGGCTTACCACAGAATGACTTTGGTTATTTCAACCTACATTTACCTCCCTCTTAAAAATGTGAATACCACAAAGTCTAGAGCAATCTTCTACCCAAATTTGAATCTCACATAGTTTGAGTAATAGCTGCTGCATACCAATGTTTTGAAAGTAATGAAGATTACCCAGGTCACATGTGAGCAGCAGGTCCTACTGCCACCGCCTTACATAACAAGAGTATACAAGGACGAGGAAGCAGACAACTCCAAGAAACGATAGAGAAAGCAAGCAAAATTAACAGAACAGATCATTTTCAGAAGGGAAAGTAAAGTATAACCAACTTAAATTACCCAATGGCCTGAATCCAACTTCTAGGTTTCCTAATGAGCATTGGGGGGCAGGGGTATTAGGAGCCTAAAATGGGAAACACCAGGAGACAGGGAACAAGAGTGAGTACTGTCTAGAGAGTCCAAGGAAATAGAGATGTCACAATTATCAGGCTAAGAGTCAGTACAGATAATCAATCCAAAGGGAAGACCTAGGCTCTAGACCTACTTGGTGTGTGGTCATTAGAACACTGCCCAGCATCTTCTTTTCTAGGGAGCCTGAGACTCTTGCTTATGGAGTTAAAAAAGATCTGAAATTTCAATATCAGTGAGTAGCATATGTATGTCACTCCATGTAAAGGACTGAAGACACTACAATCTATTACAGATTTGTCCCCATGCTTTGTATTTCTCTTTACTTTCTTGTGTTAAACAACCGGAAAATACTAAGACTGGTCTCCTGCCCCATAACTCTCATAGGCATCATTCCCAAGTAGAAATTGAGTGATGCCTTTTTGTGCACAGATAACATGAGGGAAAAATCCTGCTGGAGCTGGTTTATTTGGATTGAGATGTTAACTCATGGCCAATCTGGCAGATTGTGGATGAGATGCCAATCTGTAATTAGCTGCAGGAAATAACTGTTCAGCATGTATGTGTAAAATCCTTGTTGTCCCTGGTGGACTGGGGCTGGCTGGCTAGAGGTGCTAATGACTTTCAAAAGCTGCCTGTTGATCTGGGTACATGCATTCATAGACTGCATGGCCAAATTCTTTGTCTCTTTGGAAAACGGAGCTCATACTGTATATTTTGAATTACCATATTTCACTGCTTTCTGCTTGCTTTGGAGACTCATTCGTGGGTGTCATCAAAACACCTTCTGTATGTGCATCACAAGTCAATGTTAGTCTAGTTCTCATGAGTCTTACTAGAACATTTTTCTCTAGTCCCAGCCATGTCAATTGCAGGGAGGGTGGCGGGAATACTATTTACTGGCATTCCCACTGAGTAATGCCCTGCGTTTGAGTATCTACTTCTTTCAGCAAATCATAACACATTCTTGTTCACCTGTACTTCCAAAATGCTATCTATAAATTATTCTAAGACTTTAGAGAGTCCTAAAGATCTGACTTTAGGAATACAAAATGCATGGAAGTTTATAGGCCTGGCTTTAATCCAGGCAGAGTCAGTTCTGGACATAATGAATCGAAACAGCATACCATCTGAAGTCGGAAAGCCTGACTTTGTCCATTCCTTAGCAAAATCACTTAACTTCCCTGAACCCCAGTGGTCTCATCCGTGTCTGGATAGCTCTTTCTTTCCTTTGGCATCAGAGGGCTGATGCAATGCACCAGGAAATGTTAAGCCTGATGATAATGATGGTGTTGGCACTAGTTTTGATTTTCAGTTTGGAGCAAAGATGGGTAGGTAGTGCTGTGATTCTTCAGTTATAATTCTCAAAATGAGAAAAAAGTTATTTAACTGTATTCAATAATTTAAATGAACTCGTTGGCACCATTTAGATGCTGGATCAGTTTCTTAGGTTGCTATCATTATTCATTATTCTTAGTACTCAGATCACTAAGTTGGTTTAACTTTCTGTTATGAGGCTCTTTCTGTCTTCCTGGTTTGTTAAATTTGTTAGTTATTATCCCTTGAGCATCCAAGTGTGTGCTAGGTAGTAGGAGAAATATTGCAACTAAAATGAGAAAATATTGGTCCTATTAATGTCCAACTGTGACTTTGGAAACATCATTTAACCAAAGGTCAGTGTTCTCACTTGCAAAATGTGAATGCTTTCCTTCACTGAACAAAAGGGTCAGGCTAGAAATAAAATCCATAATGTAAAACAATTTTTCAAATCATAATAGTAAAATTTACACTAAATGAATTAATAATTTACTTAATGGGCTAGTATTACGGATGTAAAATGTCTTCTGTAGGCTCATGAGTGTGAACACTTAGTTCCAAGATGGTCCCCACCACACTGTTAGGGAGGAGGTTGGTTACTGGGTAGTTAGTCCTCAAGGCTAAGTGACCCACCTTTTGTTCACTTTAAGCCTCTTGAGCACTGATGGTTCTGACAGCATGCCTTTCCTGCTGGCTGCCATGTCTTCCCCACAGGACAGACTGTGTCTCCCTAGAACTGTAAACCAGGAGAAACCCTTCCTCTTCTGAGTAGCTTTTGCCGGGGTATTTTATCATGGCAAGGAGAAAGTAACTGAGACTTTAATGGAGACAGATATCTTTAAAGTTCATTTCCTGCTGTAACATTTCACACTTCTTTAAAATCCAAAGATGATCTCTCCAACCATGGAGTTTCAGAAAGAAACCGATTATGTAGAGACAAGAGACTGGGAAGAATACTACTGTCTGGGGACTGAAGTACTAGGTCAAGAATTCAGCTTAGTGAGAGAGCTAAAAACATAGACCTATATTTCCCCATGGTTATCTGCATGTCACGAAGACCTGAAACTGGTCAGCCCAGACTGGTTCTCTTTTAGGTTGGAGAAATAGCTTACAGATGACTGTTCTCCAGGTCATACCTACCATGAACCCAGTTGTTCTCAAGGCAACTGACTAGGTTGTTACTGTACATGACCTCTCTCGAGGCATGGTTCTTTCTGCAGCTCCAACCACAAAACAAATTCTTGACTCCTTAGATGTCTACCTTCAGAATTCCTTAGTTCTGAAAGTTCATGAGATTGTATGTGTTCATCATTTATGGTTTTATAGGCTGTGTCCATATTCCTTATGTCTTCTTAATTATCTCCATTTGGAAACAATGTCCTTTTGTTCCTCTCACTTGGCCCTGCCCCAGCTCCTTACTAAGCCTGATATACAGTCATCAAAACTGAACACGGTATTCATCACAGAAGCATAAGGGTAGGCTAACATTGTTTTTCTTTGTTTCTAGTGTCTGCCCTGATCATAAGCAAATTCGGGCCAGATTTGGCCCAAAGAAGCAATCCAATATTTCACAAATGTATTTTAGCTCATTTCACATTACAGTGCTCTGCAGGAATACATATGGAAATGCATTCTATTTCATGCCATTAAGTCATCTACCTCCCCAAACATCCTGCATTTATCTGGTAGAATGTGAGGTCATCTTTACCACAAGTAGTAATTTTCCTGGAAGAGACCAGAGAATCCTGTGGGGTCTGGAGAGTAATCTGAGGGGCATGCGGGTGGCCTGGGCACCTGGATCGTGTGTTGTAATTAGTGCAGCTGTTCTCCTTGAAGGTCTGCATTTCTCCAGACCTTCATTGCACTGCCTGACTGACATACATGTAATCACTAAGGAAGAAACCAGTGGCATTCATCAATTTCATTTGTTTGGAGTAACTGAAGATAAATGCCAAATCTAGTGTATATGAATTCTTCATTCTTCAAAGCTTCACCTTAATACAATTTCCAGGGAACTACACTTAAGATTATGATTGCCACATAAGTCAAATCTAAACCTTGAATGTGTGAGATCCAACAACAGAGCTATATCTAATATACTATTGTTCCCTCTCATTTTAGCCTCATTAATGGCACTTGAATTACCGCCCCCCTCTCCTGAATCTGAACTTAGCTTCACTGATCAATACTGACATCTAAATTAACTCCCTTTCCCAAGTGTCAACAGCTCAGACATAAGTATTTCCTGCTCCACCAATTTCCATCAGACACAGATGCTTCCTCTGAAACTGGGTCAGCTGGACCCCTGAGGAAGGAGCCTGACCTGACAAGGAAAATGAGCCTGATGAATGAGGTATAGTGGCTTAACCAAGCAGCGGTCCCTTGGTGTTGTGAAGGTCCGCTGTCCTTGGAAAAGGCCACTGTGGGTTTCTTGAGAGTCAGATGAGCATTCATTCATTCCTTTTTGTTTGCTTGTTTTTGTTTTCCAGACAAGGTTTCTCTGTGTAGCTCTAGTTGTCCTGGAACTCCCTCTGTAGACCAGGCTGGCCTTGAACACAGAGAGATCCTCCTGCCTCTGCCTCCCAAGAGCTTTCATCCTCATATAGATTTGAACTATGATTCCCCTGTGGGTCATCCATGACGTGCCTCTGAGAGACACCTGCAGAAGGAAATTCTGTCCTCTCATTCATGAAATCATGAATGGGAATACATACAGCTGTTAGTTCATCGATGCTGGAACAAGACATAAAACAAAAAGCAAAACCAAAACTTTAGGGTTTTCTTTCAAGTCCAACAGGAATGCTTTGCTCTCTGCTTTGTTTGAAAGCTCATTCCTGGCATCCAATACTCATGAAAATGACCAGATATGGGCACATGGGTAGACTTTGACATGCTGCAGCCCTGCTGACCTCAAGCAGATGTCACTCTCTGTGGAGCCTAGGCTACCCCTGCCCGTCTTCTTAGACGTGGCGAGGCCATGGAAGCCCGACTGTGCTCTGTTCTTGGCTCCCTCTATGGCTTCTGCATATGCAGGGTGGTTGTGGGGTCCTGTGGAGGGAAACCCTGGATTTTGGAGGTCCAGGTTTTAGCTAACAACTGAAGAGGCCCCTGCTGTGCTTTAATTCTATGGTACCCGTTTTTCTCACTTGTAGACAACACTTTCCCTCAAGGGCTTACTCTCAAAAAGTAGGATCTTTTTTTCTTCCATATGAAAAGAATGCACTACCATGACTGTTGAGAGTGTTAAAATTTGTATACATATTACTATTCTCAGCCTGCTGGCCTCTCCACTATGTCCTCCATATGAGCAACAGGTCTTCCTGGAAGCTCAGGTGGGAACCTGGTATGATTAGGCTGAGAATGTCTAGATGGCTCAGTGACCAAGCCAGGTGTGTGACTCCTAGATCTTCAGTGTACAAGTGTGTGAGCTCTGCTGAGTGTTGATTGGAAGAGAGTGGCAGTGGAGATCATTTCGCCCAACATAACAGCTTTGTAAAAGTGTGACACAAGCATCAGCAGGGGACATCTTAAATGCAAGCAACTGGGCAATAGTTAAATAAAATGACGTTCATGCTAACTTAGCTGACTTCCATCTAAGCTCCAGTCATCACTGCACATATGGAAAAATGTGTAAGAGTAGAAGTTGCTTCTCCACCTAGAATAATTCTGGAGGTGGAGCTTGGCTCCAAGAAGCAGGACATTGGGTCCCTTTGGAGAGGGTGGAGCAGACAAGTAAGGTCGTCTCTGTCCTGCAGAAAGGCATTCCTAGAGCCAGAGGGTAGTGGTGTGTTTGTTCCTTGTTGTGACCATTATCTGGGGAACCCTGTAGGCTTTAGCCGCCTCATCTGAAGAAAGTAAATAGTGTTTGCCTTAGACAGAAGCTGTGAAGATTGCTGGGCACAGAAAGGACACACAGAAGTTGAACTACTACTGTTTTCATTTCTTCAATCTCACTGTCCAAGAGAAGCTTCCATTCAATGTTTAAGGTAACTAACTACTACTTAGTCTGCTCATGACAGCAACTTTTACAACTGTGTCATTGTGTATACATTGCTAGAGGTCTGAGCACGTCCTCCAGCAAGTGCTTAGTATAACACCTTGTGCAGATAGGAGTCCCCCTCCCTCCTTAACTTTAACTTTTAAATGCCAAGAAAATGTTCTTGTATGATACATATGTATGTATTCACATGTGTGTGCATGTGAGATTGTGGCTGTGAGTGTGTATGAACACATGGAGGCCACAGCCTGATGAATGGTATCTTCCTCAGTTTCCTTCCACTTTCCATGTGGATGTTGGGAGCTGAATGTGGGTTTTCTACAAAAGCAACAAGTGCTCTTAACTTGTTACAGAGCCCTTCAAGAGGGCAGGTGCCAGGCGGGCTCACCTGTTTGACCTCGGCCTGAAGGTGCCGCAGCTGGAGACACTGTTCCAGCCGTTTGTGTGTCTGCTCCGCGTTGAGCTCCAGTTCATGCTGCTTCTCGTGGAGAAACTCCAGTAGCTCCTGCACCTGAGCTGCCAGGTCAATGTCTTTCTCACAGATTAACTCGATTCCTGGTTTAAAAAAAATGCAAACAATTAAAAACCAGGTAGCATGGCAATGACAACATTGCCTTAATGATGTAAGAGAGCTGGACTTTAGGAACGGCTCTCTCCCAACCTCTAGATCCTGTAGTTAGTCCTTGCTTAGGATGCTAGGAAAATGCTGGCTCTTTAGGATGAATGAATCCTGTGTCCAGCAAGCAATTTTTAACCATGACAAGATCAGTTCCTTCTCATAAATGGAAGAGAGGGTGCTGCAACTCTGGAAGTCCATCCTAGGCAAGGCAGCTCCTGGAAACACCTGTTTGGAGACTTGCCAATACCCTGATTCATAAGCAAACCTCTGAATCATCTTGGCAATGATAAAGTCCAATCCAAAGGATCCTGTCTCAGGAACTCCTGCCAAGGGCGTATTCTATTTTAACTGATTAGATATAATTTATGATTAGATAAAAGTAACTACCTAGACATCCTAAGAAATCAGTGCTACCTACCAAATATACATGATAAATATTCCCAAGAATACCACAGGGACACTGGATGCTATTCATTCAGAAAAGCCTCTACCCTTAAGTTTTGTCCACACATGGAGCTTGCTCATCATTCTAGTGACTCAAAGCAGTTCTAAGGTCAGTCACTTGCTGACACATGTTTCCCTTGTTTATGAATGTAGCACCCAACCTAGATGAATAGCCAGCCTATAATAGTCACTCCAGTCAGTACCTGCCAGCCAAAGGCTGTGGCTCTGTCCTTGTCCACCTTCCTGCCTTGCTCTTTCTGTGTACCTCTCCCGACACATTAGAGCAGATCTTTCTTTCTTCTCTGCCCACCCAATGTTCTATTTATCTATCACCAGCAGGTGATATCACCTGCCTCAAATGGACGTCTGCTTCAGTAGGGTTACTGATAAAGTCAGATGGGGTAAGGGGACTCATTTTTATCTCATTTCTTCACTTACTGGTGGCTAGAATTTTAGTGGTTTTGGTGTTTATTTATTTATTTATTTATTTATTGCATGCAAAGTCAACATGGAATGTGTACTAGCTCTAGACCCATTCCTGAGTTAGAATCTTGAGCTTGAGCAAGTCATCTTAACTCTCATACGGAAGCTAGGATTTTCCACAGCTATCCACCTCTTACACATGTTATAAGATTAGGTGAGATGATACACCTGAAGTGTGTATCACATACACATATGGTTATTGTATACATGCCATACACACACAATGTAGAACAATGTTTACATAACAAATATAAACCCAACCCCTAGTTTCATGGATCTGCTAGTTCCTGTCTCTGACCTTAAACTCACAACTTTCAGCCTCCTTACATTCATGCCTTCTTGGTTCCTGTCCAAGTTGCAAACTTTGACCCATGCTGTTTCTTGATTATGATTGTCTACTTATTTGAGGGCTCAGCCTTGCCCAGGGCTAGGAATAGATGGGACTGACCATCTATTCTGATTCTTGAGTCTACCTGGCCAAGTAACCTCCTTATTTACATCCTGTGTGAGATATAGAATAGGGAACCAACCAATGATGGGGTTCATATTAAAATTCCAGCAGCTAAGTTCCCAAAGGAGCATATCAGCCTTAACATATGGCCACCTACAAATCAATATTCTTTGGGAGATGCCTCCATTACCCAGGCACACCATCAGAAACTCATCCTGCCGCCCACACACCTGCATCTGGGAAGCACAAGGCATGTCTGCCCACACGAGGGAAAATTCATTTCTTGAGGCAAAAATAGTGCTTTATATAAGGACAATATGGGAGAGTGGGAAAAATATTTTCTGGTGTTACATGATAATAATTTCAGTATCTCTTCATGTTTATTTTTTTCTGTGAGTTTCATAATTCCAAGTCCCTGCTCCTGAAATATCTGTGGGAGACAGAAAAGAACGGCTTGTTCTTTTGGCAGCCAACCCCCTCTGGTTACTATTTTCAGTCACCAGGAGGGTGAGGCAGGTAGAACATCTCCTGGGATGAAACAAAAGAACCAGAGAGATTTCTACTCATCATGGCTTGGTGGGAAGATGACCTTTGACCCTATGCAGACTTTCTGGAAATGTAATTTCAGCTCCATCTCTGCTTCACTGAAGTTACAGTGTGGCTCTGTTCCAGGTCATCTTTACTCCATTGCATCTCTGGTGTTCAATATACTGAGTTTTCTCTTTCTTTGGGAGGGAGGTGACTGAACCCTGCCACATCACATGTGAATGGCTGCTCAAAGCTAGTAACTCAGCGTGGAAGCTTGCTCAGCATGCCACTGAGAACAAGTACCCCAAGATCCAGGCTGTGCAATTCTGTTTGTCATGCTTGTTACAGTCTTTGTGATTAACACAGGGAACACAGGGCTGAAGAGAATGCCTACTGCATCTCCACACCCTCAGTTAGAGGTGGAGTGAAGAGAGGACCATAAGGGCTTATCCTTGCCACACCCAGAGGAGCCAATTCCACACTCTTCCTTCATCTGCTCCCAAACACGATGGTGTGAGTTACAGTTAAAGCCAGTTGGTTACTGGAAAGTATCCAGACAGCACCCCTGAGTAGACTTTGCTTTCATTATCAGTGCTGCCCTCAATTTAATGATAGACCTATCTGTCCTGCTTAGGAGCTCAGTAGCAGAAAGACAAGAGGTTTTTGTTTTGTTTTGTTTTGTTTTGTTTTGTCTTGTCATCAAGGAGTGGAGATATTTCCTATTTATTTATCCATTTATTTATTATTACTTTTAGGTTTCTTTTCAATGTCCCCCTACAGGGAACTGGCCCAATTTCCCCTCAAGGTGACTTCTTATACCTTGCTCATATCATTACTGGAATGTAGGCTCTCTGATGCCAGGGCCATGTTAACAATTGGGGCTCATAACCATTACACAGGATGACAGTGGCCACAGACCAAGAAGCAGATATTTCCATTTTATACTCGGTTGTAGAGCACTCTGGATTCAGGGCTCAAGGTCTGAACAAAGACCAGCCAAGAACAAGGAGCACTTTAGTTTCCTTGGCTTCTAGGTCATGGTGCCATCTTATCATTTAAATTTTTTTTGTGGAGCTAGAATTGGACCCTGGACTGTGCATATGTGGCAAGTGTACTGTGCATACAAGGCAAGCGTTCTGTCACCAAGTAATATTCTCAGCCTCCAGCATCACTTTAATTTTCTCAAGAAAATGGACAGCTCTGTTAGGGGCCAGAGTCAGGCATCCCTAGCTATACTGCCAAACCTAGAAGCTTCTTGGCCATTTCTTTTCTAAATATCTGTTTGCCTCAGCTAGAAAACATCTCTTCTCTTCTCTCTACCCACCACTCATCTTTCTGTGCCATTTTTTTAAAGTCAGGTTTTTAGATCAGTGTTGTTGATGGTGGCTTTACCTCAGAACAGAAGTTTAGGGACAGTCTAAAGCCCGCTCGAGACCAATTAAGGATGATTCCCCAGGCGGTGAAGCCCAGACACAGGTATTTTAAAAAACGTTCCCCAGGCAGTTCTCAATGTGTGGATGTGTTGTGAAGCACTGGCTTACTTCAAGGTTCTCTTCCTTTCTCCTCAACAGTTCCCATCCCTGCTAAACCCAGAATAGCTTTCATTCTGAAAAAGCTCAGGCTTTGCATTTTCTTTCCATTTATGGCACCAAGAAAATTACTTGTGGTCTAGTATCTTTGCCTTAATTTGTCCCACCCACACCGATGCTCATTCTTGTTTAATTTAGCAAATGTCATTATTGAGAATCTGCTTTGTATAAGGCATTACCACTCTCCTAGAGGCTGCTGTGTGCAAACACCTTATTCACATCGCTGATGAAGCTACTGGAAACCAAGTCATCCCAACAGGATGCTCTGTGGGCTAGAAAACAAGCATTATCCCTGGATGTGTCATACCTCGAGGGATCTCTTCCATGCTCTTGTATAATCTTTCTGCATCCTCACTGTGACCCTATGTCATAGGTTATCTTTCCTCAGAGATAGGCAAGGCTTCGGGAAGATTTGGTGACATGTTCCAGGACACACAGGTGGGAGAATGACTGGGATTTATCCTCATATTTTCTCTCATATTTGTGTTTTTACCCTGCATGCTCAAGTAGGCTCAAGTAGCACAGCTTGTTTAAGTATGTGTTTACATCAGACCCTGATGGTGTAGGCACGTAGCCTCTGGTATTCAGGACCCAGAGATAAGAGAATAGCACGTTCAAGAACTGCCTGGGCTACAGAGTGAGTTAAAGGACAGCCCTTGCAACTTAGTAAAAACTGGTCCCCAAATAAAAAGTTAAAACTAAAAAAGATAGAGGTGGAATGCTTCCCTAGCAAGTGTGAGACCTTGGGTTCAAGTGTCACTAACACCAACAGAGTGCTCAGCTGCTGAGCTGATATTCCCAGTAGGAACAGTAAATGCTAAACGTGACTGACACAGACTCCAAGGATGTTTTTGGTATGTGTGCATATGTTTAAGTGTGTGTATATAGTTACATATGTGTGTACCTGTACCGTGTGTGTGTGTGTGTGTGTGTGTGTGTGTGTGTGTGTGTGTGTTTGGAGGATGTAAGTTAACACTGAGTGTCTTCCTCTTTCATTTTCTACATCATCATCATCATCATCATTATTTTGACAAGGGTCTCTTTCATTGAACCTGGGCTCACTGATTGGCTAGACTGGCTAAAAAGTGAACTATGGGAACCCACTTGTCTCCCTGCCTCCCCTACCCCTTTGTGAGGCTTACAGTGTTAGGATTACAGAAGTGTGCCACTGTGCCCTGGGATCCAAACCCAGGTCCACATGCTTCTGTGGCGAGCACTTTAACCACTGAGCCCTCTCTTTAACCCTCCACAGGTAATTTTTCAAACTTAAAAACAGGACATAAAAGGGAGCCTGACACTCTCAACCACAGAAGCAATATATCCATGAGTCATGTAGCTCTTGTTTTAGGACTGAGGTCAAAAGTCAGAGTTTGCTGAATTCAGGACCTGGGTGAAAATCAATCTGACAGGAGGCTGAACCATGGCAAATGAGGAACTGGAAGGAATTTGTAAACCAAGTCTATATGCTAGACTAAACAGGAAAGAATAAGGTCTAATGAAAAAAAAAAACACAAAAACAAAAAAAAAAGGATGTCCACAGGCAGGCTGCTCTTTGGTGGCAGAACTGGACTTGGAATTCAGAGAGCATGTTTTCCTAACAGCAAAATCTACCACCACCCAACTTGAGGGTCAAGCAGACAGAGTTATCGTAGGAAAGAATGGGAGCTTTCTAAGGTGGATGTGACTCACGCCAAGGCTTTTGCTTTGGGTAGTGCTGTTGGTATACTGGAGGCTTCTGGAAAACCTGACCCAATGTTATGAACATCACACCCGAAAATAAGCACATCAGAATTCTTTAGTTTCATAAACTACTAAAAATAATCAGGCATAAGCCTTTATTAATTTAACAGAGAGAGAGAAAAGTATTAATTTTGATCATTGTCCTTATTTTCTGACACAATTGTTTATTTTTATCTTTACTCAAAATATAGTTCATTAAAACAAATAGATGATTCAAAGTCATTGCTGTCTCAAACCTTTATCTCTGAAGCCATGCCCTGCTCTAGATTCACCACCACTCCCCACCCTTCTGCAGGTCCAGTGTGACCCTGACCTCCTGCCATATGCTCAGAGTGACACAGGTGCTTCTCTGAAGAGCTGGGCAAAGACAGACAGACAGCCTTCCTAAAACCCATGGATTCATTTCCCTTTAAGTCTCCCAGGCTCTGCCAGACTGAACAGCTAGCTAGGGTAGGCGGAGGGGAACAGTCAGTCTCAGTGGAGAGGGCTGAGGAGGCCAACCAAACCTCTTTCAACAAGGCTCCTATCTAGAACAGGATATTGTGGGGGTGGGTAGCCCATCTGCCTGGGGGTATTTTCACCCACTCAGCCCTCCTGGTTAAGTTGTATGCCAAGCACAGACAACCTCCAGTCACAAGTAGTCCCCAGAGATTGCCAGATCCCGGCAGCCTTTCCGGTACCATGAGTTTTTGGATCCTGGGATAGAAGCTGGCTTGCTGAAGATCACATCAGCACACATATTCATTTGACAAACCATCCAGAAGGATGAAGGGCAAGCTTTTGGGTTGCTCTGCCCAGCCTTTCTTCTAGTTACTGTGTATCTCCAGGCTTCCGTCATAGCTGGATGGCCAGCCGCATGAGCATCATAAAGGCCTGGACGGCTAACCTGACCCCTGAGCACAGATGAAATTCTCAACCATAGGAAAGGGATCACCACTGTTCCTTATGTTGCTTACTCTCCCTTCCATGATAAGGGCCTGAAAAGACACAGCTGGTGTGTCAGAATACCACGTCTCAAATTCCAGCATGCAGTCTGCCCAGAGCCGCATCTCAAATGTCGACAACATACAGCTCACCTAGAGATTCTGTTAGCATGTAGATTCAGACTCACATCCACAAGCATCTGGATGCAAGCCTGAGAACTGCCATTCTGAAGAATCCCCAGGCAGACTTTGAGTGAGTAGCCCTTTTAGTGGGCTGCACACTTAGAATGACATGTGTCTCTCAGATAACTGCATCCTATCTAAGGCACAGATGACAATTCATGGAATGACTTTGCTGACAAAAGTAACAACTCACTGGGTTCTCCCCACTGTGGTCCAAAGTGATGTTCACTTGAATAATACAAGACTTACTTTGCAGACCACCAAAATAAACACAAAATTGTAAAGTTCAGTAGGACTTTCAGGTGCCCCTTGACAATCTCATCTTAAAGTTCACCATCAGCAGGTACATGGCCCAACTATGATTTAAAGACATGACAGTCTCAGTCCAACTCGTTCGGCCTGGCTAGCAAGGCACGTGCCAACAGGCCATGGGTAGGGATGGCGTGGCAGCAGAAAACTGGGTTCTAGTATTGCACAGTTCTGAGAAAACATGAGGGCTTTCTCTTGCTCTGGACCACCAATCTTCCTGGATTGCTTTGGCTCTCTCTAGTTCCAGAAAATGGAATCATATATTTATTGCATGTGTTTTGAATAAATCTTGAATGGAAAAAGCCATAAGTAATGCCATGTTTTCCTAAGAAGTTACAAAATTACACGATCTTCCATAAACTTTTATCAGAACTACTTAAACTCGTCTACAGACCAGTGCTTAAAAACAGTAACAAAACTCGAGGATTCTGGGAAGTATCAGCCAGAGATCAGGGGACTGCCTATGAGTTTGCAGAAAGAGCAAGGACCACTGCATCCGGGGCAGAGTGGCGTAGGAGCTCACTACCAACAGCACAACTCCACAGGCCTCAGACTGCTCTTGGTTTGCTTCTGAACTATAACTTTTAAAACACTTGCAGTAGTTTCCATCACTGATTCTTCTGCTTTCTCCTGCATACCCAGAGACTTTGGCTATAGTCTCATCTTTCCCACAGCCTAAACTGGACAGATAGCCTTGCATGAGTTATTTCAGCTCTTATGGTTTCATTTCCTCTTTAAAACAGAGGTAAAATTTTCTACTCTTTTTATCTGTAGGTATAAATTGAACAGTGTGGAAGTCAGGGCTTCCATCGTGCACTCCTGCCAGGAGCATGAGAAGCCACTCACCTGAGGCTTGTACCTCCATGATGTACTGGTGCAGGTCCTGGCCCTGCTGGATGACCTCAAAGGTCATGTTGTTCATGGCAAGCTTCCGCTCTGTGTGGCGCTGTAGCCGCTGTTCTGCCAGGGTCAGGTCCTCTGTGTTGAAGTCATTCATCTGCCGGAGCAAGTCCTCATTCCAGGCATCTAGCTCTGCTGTCACCTGTAAGAAGCGTCACATCAGCCAGCGCTTGCTGCCTCCACCAGACGCTGCTAGATTGCATTCTTTGCTGAAAGCCTTATCAATTCACCCACCCCTCGCTTTCCACTTCCCAAATGTTTTTGTAGGGCTCAACATCTACAGCAACAGCAAATGAATGGCTGCAGGCATTTGTGCACTGAATTACGGCTTATAAAGTTTTGGCACTTTCATCTCATGGTGACCCTCACAATGACCCAATGAAGCAGGCAGTATGGCAATCTCCAGGTCTGCCTTCTAGAAGAGCAAACTTGCGCCACTCAGAGAGATGGAGTGGTGTGGCTGAAGTTTGCCTCGATAGTGACACAGTAGCTCAGTTCTCCCATCTGTAAAGACTTTATCCATCATTTCACAACTGTTATTATAAAAAATATTTCATATTTGAAGAAACCTTCAGAGCTAAGTTTAGGGTACTCCAGCAGCCAAAATTGGGGGCTCGAGAAGCCTGGGACTGGTTCAAGGTCTCATCGTTAGCCAAAGGACTAGTGAATATTAAAGCCCAGGCTTCCTCTCTAGCTGCTGTGTTCCATTGTACTAGATTCTCTCTCTTCATTACAAAGGCTGATAACAGAAGAGTGTGACCACACCAAGTGTTTATGTATAACATTCCTCTGGAACATTGGCTCTCAACTGTGGGTACCAACCCCTTTGGGGGGAGTTGAACAACTCTTTCACAGGAGTCACCTAATACCATTAGGAAACCCAGTTATTTGCAATTTATACCAGTAGCAAAATTACAGTAGCAATGGAAGTAATTTTATGGTTGGGGTCACCACAACCTGAGGAACTGTATTAAACCCTTGTAGTGGATCAGTACTTATCCCTAGCATAGGAATGGACTTTGGGAGTCCATTCCACATAGAGGGATACTCCCTCAGCCTAGACACACAGGGGTGGGCTTAGGCCCTATCCCAAAGGATATGACAGACTCTGAGGACCCCCTATGTAAGGCCTCACCCTCCCTGGGGAGCAGAAAGGGTATGGGATAGGTAGGGTGTTAGTTGGGGGGGTAGGCAGGAGAGGAGGGGGGAGAGGGAACTGGGACTGACATGTAAAACAATCTTGTTTGTAATTCAAATAAAAAAATGGAGGAAAAAAGTCACAGCATTAGGAAGGTTGAGAACCACTGCTCTAGAACAGTCAATCAGATTATAATCTACTGAAAGCAGTAATGATGCCATTGAAGTCTAGAGCATGTAATAAATACAAGCACTGCCCTGATGTGGATTAGTTAGCTGTTCATTCTCTATACCTTAACTCAATGATTTCACCTAAGCTGCTTTCAGTTCTCTGCTAACAAAGGCCACGTCCTCCACCCCCTTTATATTCTCTGCAACAAACCATACAGAAGGAATTCCAAAGCATGGAATTACATTATTCCAGAAATCAAAAAGTTTCCATGATGTCCTCTTGTGTCATACTCCCAACCAGTGAAGGCAACAGCATGTGTGTGGCCATCTTTTCTGAGGAGTGGAAATGAAAGTCTCTCCATGTCATACATTTGCAGCAGGACCCAGGCAACTAAGCGCATCTCCCGGAGCTCTAGTTTAGTGGTTTTCATTATACCAGGTCTCATCCCAGCTGACAGATGGCATCATCTTTCTAGTGGCCAAATGCAAGTTGTTCTAAAGGCATCAGAGGGCACCAGGAAGTAGAAGCCAGCTAGAAGCAAAAGCAGGGCTGCTCTATCCCAAACTACAGCCATGCAGACTGACTTGGGAGAGAAAAGCAGTCCTTTGCAAGGGGCTGCTGGTCTGGGCCATAGGATTCCATCTATTGTCTGAGGGGAAGATCTTTCTTCTAGCAAAGGGGAAACAGATAAAAGCACAGTAGCTGTTTTGAAGTGGAGATGCAGGAACTGAAGAGTTCCTGCTTTACTGCTCTTGGCTTCCACCTCATGCCCCAGATCTTTTCAGGTCAATTCAGGAACTGCTGAGCTCTGCAGGAAAACCCGGGATCTACCTTTTGTGGAGGAGACCTGGGAATCAGCAAGTTAGTAGGCAAAACAGATTTCTCTTAGATCCTTGCCTTTGAGAAACACTTTACTTTCTAAATCCAGACAAGGGGTTAAATGGAGAATAAGAGATATCTTGTTTTATAATTTATAGGAGAATTTATGGAATGAACATGCCGTTATAAAAGAGGCATAGAAGTGGGCTGTTTCTTCCTATATTTAAAAAATTAGAGTATGAAATGCACATATTTTGAACACTCAGTTCTGAGAGTTTTGACAGGTTCACACATTTGGGTGTATAGTCTTCACCCAAAGCACAATACAGACCCATCACCTGAGGGAGCTCATTTTTGACCATTTCCAATCAGTTCTGCCCTCCTCGCACAAGGAAGCACTTTCAGATTTCTGTCAGACAGTTTTGTCTATTCTTGGATTTTCTGTGACTGAAATCAGGGAGTGTACACTTTCCTGCCTGGCCTTGAGTTCAGTATGCTACATTATGGGCATCAGTGTTGTGTGTGTCAGTCGTTCTTTCCTTGCTGTAAATGAATGGAGTCCATTGTCCAGATGGTTCACAACTTATTTATCCTCTCTCCTGCCGAGCAGTGTGTGACTATTATGAATAAGGCTAATGTGAGAATTCTCACACCACTCCTTCTGTAGGCATAGCTTTTCATTGCTTTTGAGTGGAACAGGTTCATGTTTCTAAGCAACTGGAGGAGCTCTTCAAGGGGATTATAAAATTTGATGGTCCCAGTAACAGTGCATGGAAGGCCTAGTTGCCCTGCACTCTTCACCAATCTCCTGTCACTACTGTCTGCTTAATTTTAATGATACTACTACATGGGAAGTGATAGTTCATTGCAGTTTTAAAATGTACCTACCTCATGGCTATTGATGTGGATAATATTTTTATTTTTTATGTTCTCACTGGGTTCCTTTCCACTTTCTTTCCAGGGTCCATGGTTGGCATACAACAGGGGCTCATCTTGTTCGTTTGCATCTAGCTTCTACTTTACTGCTAAGGAGCAAGGCTAGCTTCCCAGCTGTTCCTTACGTGCTTCTGTGGAGAATCAGCTGGTTGACTGCTAATGCTGAGAGTGAGCTCAGCCCCACCATCACTTGGGTACCACAGTTCTGAAATGTCCTTGTGAGCCTCTCAATTTACTCAAGTCCTGATCACTCTCCAGAACACACCCTCTACCTCAAGAGCCTCACAATCTGCCAGGCCCAGAGGCTCACTCCAAAACATGGTGGGGGGTTGTGGGGTGGGAGTGGGGGTGCATCTGCTCTCACAAGACTTTAAGAAGTAGAGCCTACACTGGAAATGAACTTGGTGATACAACTGTATTTGGAGAGGATTTGGTCAAGCTTAAAGTAGAGCCTGAACCAAACGAGACAGAGGAGACAGAGGATTCCCAAGGGCACTCTGCTTTCAGTTGGCCTATTTTGTTGTTTTCTTTCACTCAATTAATTCCTTATCAACCCCCAGTCTGTTCAGGGACCCCAGTGGCTTTGGGGCCTCTGTCTTCCTCACTCTCTTCAGAGTTTAGAATATGATGACTAAACCCAGTGTGTGGCTGGAGAAGGAGGCCTTTCTCAAGGGGCCTGAAGAATGATGACCTCTTTGAGAGATATTCTGGGAAGAATATTGTTCTAACAATTGTCTGTTCTAGAGATACCCAGAATGTAATTAGATAAATAGCTAAAAACTTCATTTTTTTGAGAAGATAAAAAAATGAGAAAAGAAGCCCAAGACTTTCGGACACCTAGGAAAGCCACAGTCTTAGCTGCACAGTGTGTGTCTGTCCTGTGCTACTGCATCTTTATGGGACACAAAGGTACATGGCATTGAACCTTGCTGAGAGTATCTAAGCTCCAAGGCTGCCAATTCTAGAAGGACCTGGAAGCATCCATCAGGGATCTCTGACAATCTACTGAAAATGGTGGCTCTCCGGAAACCGTATGCATGAATGAATTTGAATTTTTATTTTCATTAATTCTTTTAAAGGAAGATATTGGGAGAACCTCCCGATGATTCTGATATGAACTTAACAAAAACTTTAGAAAGGACTATTAAATAATAGCCTGGAAGGAGGCTGACTTACTTCACTGTATTCATTATGTAACCCCTTCTTGAAAGTATGCTTAGAAAATGCTACTAAGAAAAAAATTTTAAAATATTCCCTAAATGGACCTTATTGGGGGGGGGTTGTCAGTATTCAATTCTTTGTAGTTTCACAGTATAAGAGAGTAAGAGAAGATGATGAAGCCAGATGGGGTCCTTAGATGGTCATAGCCCGCTGTGGCTGTGGAAGCTTCCAGCTATGTCCCTGGAGTGATGCTCCAATGAACACCACAGAGTCCTGATGACTGAGGCCAACATTTCAAACATCTACAACCTAGACAGTGACATTCAAATTAAAGTCTATCTGTTTTCATAAGTTATAGGACTATGAAAGAAGAAAAAAAAGGAAAGAAAGAAGGACAACAAAGAAAGGGAGGGAAACTATCGTTTAAGTTAAGAAAAACAGGGTGCTATATTAAAAGCATGTACCTCACAGGAGAGAAATAGCAACACAAAGCTAGATAGGTTAGGGCACAAAGTCATTGGAAAAGTCCCTGCCTTCCATGGACTGGAAGATGGCAGAGTCTTAAACAGGACATGTTCTCACTACGGTCAATGAACAGGGCATGGCTAGCTAGAGTCCCTTTATCAGAAGGCAGTGAAGAGCAGTGAGACCCAGAGGCTGTGCCTTTCTACAATGAACTGGGAATGAACCTCACACAGAAGAGAGATCTCTGGGTTTTCAAGTACAGGAGAGGCCCATGATGGACATATTCAAATATTTTCGAGAATTTGAAATGATTTTTTTCTATTTTTTCATTTTCTAGTTTTCCCAGGAGACAGTCAAGGACAAAAGTAAAAACAAGTTAAGAGATTTTGATTCAATAAATAATGAAATCCTGTTTTTTCTTCCTTCTCTTCAACCCTCTCTTTTTTTGGGGGGGGGGCTTTGGAGATATTCTAGCTGAGACTGGAAGACATCCTTCAGAGATGCAAAATTCCGGCTACTAACCAGCCTTCTCATTGGGTGTAATCTCATGAAAAAAAAAAATCCTTGTTTGCAGCCCAGCTGGGTCAGCTGTTGCCCATTCTGTATCCCCCACCCTGGGCCTCCCTATCATGGAATTAGCATGTCAATGAAGAATCATCATGTGTTTCTCCCAACCTGCCCCCTAAATGTTCTGATAAATAGTCACTGAGCTGAATTTTTATGCAGGAGAATAGCCAAGGGAGCAACCATTTTCTAACCTAAGACACTAAATTAGCTGAGAAGTCAAGATCACCAGTAAGGAACAATCAGCTTTCCCTTCTCTGGGCAGAAGCTTCCACTGGAAATGAAAAACCTTCCCAGGTTCTGCCTGGTCCCCACTCATCTTCATACAAACCCGAGAATTTAGAGTTGACTGTTTTAGTCCTTACAATGGTTAATATTTCATACAACTTTCAAGTGCATTAAGAGAGTAGAGTAAGATATTTTTAAAGGCTAAATCCTTGGCCCATACGTTCATAAAATTACTTATTTAGAGTCTATTTTCTTGGTGTCATTTTGAGTGCTTTTCCAAGGTGTGCATGTTCACTTCAAGGAACGCCACAGGTTAGTTTGATTAGAAGACAAGTGTCCCTCTATAAATATGCACCTACACACATTATCTGCACACATATTTTATGAGGCCAGTGAGAATTCTGACATTTCCCCGGAGTCTCAGAAGCAGATTGGCGTTCAACTCACTCTGATCATGAGGCAGATGGCTTTGTGTGGTATAGAGCAGGAGACAGCTCCTTAGAGAAGGCAGGAGCCACAGTCAACCCTGAGAGGCTGCCTGTGGTCCAACTGTTTGCTGTTGTCAGTGTACTTCGAGTTATTGCTCTTTTCATGCCCCCATTAAATGGATTTATCTATCATCTAGTTTACAGTAAACCAACCCTGCATGAAGACATATGGCTTAGCAGATTTCCTGCAAAGAAAATGCTGTTTGGAGATAATAAAACCATGAAAGCAAAAAAGCTCTGACCTTTCTGTTAGCTATATTATGGGCTAAAGAGACAATGGCAATCAAATCAGATCTGGTAAACAAGCAAAAAAATTATTGGAAACTATCAGAAGACTGAAATCTGACATCACAGTACCTCATGGAAAAGTTAAACCTCATCCAAGAGCACTATGGAGTTTCGGGATTACTAGCCAATCACAGAACATTTTTATAATTGAAAACTAGTGTGTGTGTGTGTGTGTGTGTGTGTGTGTGTGTGTGTGTGTGTAACTATACCTTCAAAAATATTTTATTGGCAATGTGAATAATCAAGAAGAAACTGAAGTCACTGGCTTATTCCTACTTCTAAACATATTTATTTCTGATTATTCTAGTTGGAGAAAATTTAGAAATGCAAGAAAACATCAAAGATAAAATAATTACCCTAGTCCTTCCCACCATGAAATTCACAGTATTAGCCCTTGTCTTCTGTTCTCTTCGGTCATAATGAATTCATATGAATGCCTTGCACAGAGGGAGGCTGAGCCTATAGGACTTTGTAGGACATCATGTTGCACTCTGGGCCTCTGTCTACCATCCAAGACAAGAAGTCCAAAAAGGTATGTTAGGATTGCAGCCACATTCTGGTACCAAGCCTAGCAAATCTGGGATTAGTCTCACTTCCATGGTGGGCACATTATGGTATCATTCCAGGTGATAATGTGAAAGCCACATACGCCATCATGACTAGCAGAGAGCAGCAGTTCATGCTTCCTTATGTTTAAGTTAATTAGCACGTCTCAGCCATCAGTGATACGGCTGAGGAGCCATGCTTAGATCCCCCAGATGTCAGGGTACTGGGCCTGCTCCACTTCTAGTAATCCCTAGAAACTTGGACTGTGTCCACCAAATGCCTTCAATTAGGAGCAAAACCGGATCTGCACTGTCCTGGCTTATGTCATCTCTGACGTGGCTCTTTTAACAGAAACCACCCTCAGTTTCACACCCAGAAGCTTCTCTAGGAGTGTGTTCCTCATTCCCACATTGAGGCATAGCTGGCATTTGAAACAACTCAATGCCCTTAAAAATAACTTCTAACAATCTGACTCAAGGCAGTACTTCCCAGAGGTCTGGCAGGGCTTCCATTGCTATCTAGGACTAGATGTAGCAGCATCCTCCAACTTTCTACCTCCTTCCAAGTGGGGACAAGACCCTCTGAAACATGACATCATATTCCATATCAACAGATGCAAAACCAAACCACTGTTTTTAGCTCCTTCGTTTTATCAGCCCCTCACACTATTTCCCCAGTCATACCAAGCATTCCAAGGTACTGTCCAGAACTAGGCGAGGGCATCTTGTATGTAGAATAGCTAAAGAATAAAGATTCTGTAGATGAAATAAAAACTCCTCTATCAACATTTAAGTCAATTCTATCTGTAATGTATTCGAATTATATTTCTCTAAAGGGCTATTTTCTACATATGCTTTGGACTGTCTTTCTCCTGGAGCTCCCAACTTCATGGCTACTGCGTGATTTCCCTAATGCCTGGCCCGTGTGCATCAGCTGCTGCCTAACTTTAAAACCTCCACTCATGAAACCACGGAGCTCGGTGACTCTCCTTTAAGAACCCCAAACCCAACCGCGCAATCTTTTTAGGAACCAAGCAAAAAAAAAAATGTAATGAATGGTGACAAAAGCTATCCAGTGACGTGATCTAGAGACCGGAATTGAGCAGAGGGGCTCTGCTTAGCAGTCAGGATGAAGGGGATTGGAGGGAATAGATACTCGTGGAGTGTGAATTCTGTGAGTTCTAAAGTTACGTCTAATACAGGAACCCTCGGATTTCTTCTACCACTCTGCAGACGCAGCAGCGGCCTCGGCGGGGAAATGTTTACCTGGGTACATCCATCACCCCACTTTCCCATCTTCCCTCCTGCTTCCCCATACCTCAATGGTGTACTGCTCAAAGATGCGCAGCTGCAGGAAGATATCCAGCTTGATCTTCCGCTCGTGGAACAGCTCTTCCATCTGCACCTGAGCGTCGTCCAACTGCTGCAGGACAGACTCGATATGGCTGATAGAGCTGGTGTGGGGTGTTTTGTTGTTGGATACAGCAGAGTCCCTGTGGCAGAGCAGGGAAAGAAGAGAGGGAGGGGCCTCGCTGTGTTAAAAGTGATGGAGGAGCCAGGTGGCTCTCCTCACCTGGGCAAAGGGGATGCGAATCAGGTTAGTCTTTTAACAAGTTATCAAAGTGCCACTGTGACCTGACACCATCTTTATAGGATAACCAGAGACGAATGAATTCACCCTCTTTAGAATTCATACCTTTATTTCCAACACATGCTGGAAATATCCTCAAAGGGATAGAAGGAAATGAGCTAAGAGAAAAGTCATAAAATATCAGAGAAATAGAATGGTTCCAAACACATATGTAGTCTAAGAAGATAAAGCTTTAACACACACACACACACACACACACACACACACACACACACACACACACACACACACACACACACACACACACACACACACCACATAAAGGTAGACAAAGGAATTTGAAAAGCAAAACCAAAAAACCTGCCTATTTCTACCTCACAGGACCATTAAATTAAAATGACATCATGGATACCAAAATTATCTGCCCACTTCACAATGCTGTGCTCACACTGTGGGCTGGTGTTCTGAAACAGACTTCAAGCTATAGTTAGGAAAGCATAGGATCTGGAGTCTGTAAACATGGGTTAGGCTCCTTCTCTGACACATCTAGGCTGGTGGCCCTGGGAAATAATCAGCTTGAGCCCCAGCTATCTCTTTTGTCAAATGGACATCATCTCCCTCCTCACCCCACAACTTGCTGTGATGTAGGCAATTGTGTGAACTGGGGTCAGGAACATTCAGTGAGTCATGACTAACCCTGAAAAGGCACAAGGAAGTGTCAAAGGTTTCCTATGGCATAGTCAGCCTGGGGGGGTGGTGGCGGTAAGAATAGATCTCACAGGCTGGGACAATAGACAAATGCTTCAGAGAGGACACATTTTGACTTGGCAGAAGGGAAGGGATTGTTCCCTCAGCAGTCCCTATAAAAGAAGTAGGGATAAGAGACACATTGTAGAGTGGAACCCAGTTACTAAGAGATGGACTTGTTCAGGGAAATGACTTTGGAGATGGTGAGACCACCAAAGAGATTCAGGAAAGCTATGGAGCTTAGGAAACTTAAATACTGTAGGACCCAGAATAAGCCAGAGCTGTAGGATGTGAAATGGACCTGCACACTTGTTACCTTGTGACACCTTGGTGTCTTACACAACTTAAGGAGGTCAATGGGCAAAGGAGAAAGCATCAGTGTAAAATTCTCTTCTTAGCAGATCCTGAAGGCCAGGTACTTGTCTCAGAAGCAGCAGGGCCTGGGCACACACTATCTGTTCCTGAAGATAATACGGGCTCTTACTATGTCACAGAGCTTTTCTTGGGCCACCCAGAGAGCTCCTAGTCTTATCTCCTACACTTGGTGCATCAGAGCAAGAAATGGGCACAGTTTCTGTCTCCACTATTGTATAAATACTCCAACCATAAAAAGGACACTAGGTGTGGTTAATAACTTTCATTATGTATTTGCCGAACACTTTGCTATTGAGAGGATCAGGCTGTTCTCTCAGATCACTCCTTCATACTTCCTCCTGAAGAAAGATAATGATTTCCAGCCTGTTGTACAGCAACTGTGCAGTGTTGCTTGTTACTAGGAATTACAGAGATGACCCACAACCTTCTCAGAACTTTAAGGAAGTGGGTCAGAAACACTGAAGACACAGAGAAGGCATGTTTCCAAGGTATATGAGAGACCCTGCCTGTGTCCTCTAAGCCCCACTCATGCCCTACAGAGTCAGGCCAGTGGACAAACGGATGTTACTAGGCTGGGCTAGAGTCAGGCCAGTGGATAAATGAGGATGTTTCTGGTGCTCTTGGACATGTGCATATGATACTTGCTAAAAATCCAACTTAAACATTGTGGAGCAGTCACCAGTCACATTGTGGTATCCACCACCATTGGGAACCTGTGCTTTCTGCAGGCCTGGCCCTACAGAGTAAAAACCAGTCAGCCAGCTTGCAAAAGTATTCCAAAGAGAAGACAAAACCATCACAGAATCCTGCAGCTGACAGGGAGTCTAGAGTACGCGCCTTACTTATACAAAGGAGGCGGCCAAGACTCAGCAGGCTAAGTGGCTGGCCACTAGTTAAACTTTTTGTTAGAAGCAAGTGACAGTAGAGTTTCCTAGGTAGGCATTCAATACTGCCATGCATTATATATTCATGAAGATGAACTGGGGGGAAAGGCAAAAAGGCTGTCTTGTTAGTATGCAACAGGAAAATTTAGTACATCTCATGTACATGTTTAGAATAGAAATGATTAATTTCCAACAGGGAAAAAAAACATGCCAAGGCCTCCTAAAGGTAATTTTTCATTGTTTATTTAATTGGACAATTGGTATTGGGCGGGGGAAGCTTTCTCCAGTTGAAGTAATACCCTCAGGCCCCAAGGCTGGCCTGGGACTTGTTGATGAGATTATTTCTGTCTATAGCTGGCAGAGGTCCCAGCACTCAGTGATTTGAGGGCAGGACAAGTCCCCGAGGGCAGGCATCATTAGCACCATCAAACCCTATTTATGCAGCACCTGGGCATGGGGCTGGTTGTTGAGGGCTTGCTGAGGGCTCAGTGACACTTTATCTGAGGAGACAGTGTCCTTGACAGGGACAGGAACTAGACATTGATGCCAACAGAAAACAATCAATGGTGTGGGCAATTCTAAACACACAGCTTTCAACATGGCTTTCCTGTTTTACTTATTTATGTGTGCGAACACTGACAATGGAGGAGTTTCATTATCTAGACAGTAAGGGACTGTGGAAAAGGTCATAGTGAGTAACCTTCTCTGCATCCTCAGGGACCCAAAGCAAAGCAATGGGGCTACAGAATTCAGAGTTGGGCCCAAGATCAAATGCTGCATTTGAAGAGAAGAGGAGGCCCTGAGTGTGTGAAGGTTTGACTGGGTATGTGTTGTTGGCATGAGCTAGCCATACCAATGACCATAGCCTCAGACCCATGGGGAAATGGCAAGGGCTCCCCATACCCTACAAAGGGATGATGTCCTCTGGTCTGTGTGAATGGTGATAAGAGATGTAGAAAATGTCCGCTGTAGATTTCTCCCCTTGGATATTTATGGCCTGAGGGCTGCTTCCCTACAGAGGCTGCTCTTACTGAAATTAGCTAAACCCGTCTCTTTGATTCAGCTGTATACCATTAACCCTGCCAGCTTGTTTTGCTGTCTAGAAGAACCCCACTTCTATGTCTGACCGTATCAAATAAACACATTGAATTTCCAGGGCGGCTGCTGAGATGTCTCCATCAAAGAACCCAGTTCACCCAATCCTAGCTTTTCTGTGTATCTGTGTATTTTTTCTTTTCTTCATTCCCTTCATTCTCCATCCCTGGAGCTGTGCTGAATGCAACAGCTGGACAACACTGTATTTAATAATATCTATCTCTCTGCATGGCCAAATACATCATTATTCTTAATTAAAACACTATTCTTTTTATTGATTGCTGAATATCATCCAGATGATAAATAATGCTCAGCAGCATTAGTACTTTCCTAGAAAGCTTCAGTCTAAACTCAAACTGGATGTGGTGCAGGCATTTATTTGTATGTCTCACAGACAAAGCAATGGAAGCTCACACAAGATCACAAAGCAGGCTGTGGTTGAATCGAGACAGGGACAGGACTTATCTTGTATCTAGCCCGAGGCATTTCCCACTGGAAATCACTGCCCATGCTGACCTGGCCTCGGTGGGCTCCCCCAGGGAGGGAGACGCTGACCTGAGCTGCTGTATTAGGTCTTCGCCTTCCTTGATGACATTGAGGGTAGCATCCAGGGTGGCAGTCTGCTGCTGCTGGAACTGCTTGATCAGTTCCTGGACCGCATCCACAGAGTCTGCACAGACATCCTCCAGCATCTCCTTCTGTAGGTCTTCCATCCATGTCCACAGCTGTGTGGGAGAGAGCAGATACTCTATTCAGGGCTGAAGAGAGAGGGCAGCCCTGGGGCAAGGGCAACAAAAGCTGGAGAGGAGCCACATCCTAGAGCAGGAGTCATCAACAGTATATCTATATAGGCCAGTGTGTGTTTCTACACTGATATTCATTACCCATCTTTACAAAGTTCACTTCATGAATGTTGACGCTGCCTAAGGATGGAAAAACCAAATAGTTCAGTGAAACCTTTTGAGCAAATAGATTCCTCATCTTTGAGAGACCAGCATGAGCAGGAGACTAGGGTAGACAAATATTTTTATCTTTTAGAAAGGAAAAGGTGAGTGGCTCTGTATACTTCTTCCAGGCAGCGAGAGACTGCTTGCTGGAAATTGATCATGATATGGTATAGAAATTGATCGTATTGCAAATATTCAAAAAGATGCCACCCAATAAGTGTAGACAAAGTGTAGTCTATGTCACATTAAACTCTTTTGTTCTTTTTAACATTGCTAGATTACTTGGAAAGTTGAATACTAAAGTGCAGCTTTTCTAAATTTCAGTGAGAGTATAAGACGTTTCCACATTGTATTCAAGATGGTAAAATGGGCCAAGATGACAATTAGCTGTCAGACAACTTTAAAGAGTCTAAATCTAGTGTTTGGAATAAATGAGCACCGGAAACAGTGAAGGATTATATGAATTACTGAAAACTTAATCACTAAGTGCTCATTCACCTAGTGAAATGGATGTTTCAGCCATTTCTAGACCCTTTCCTCTGGATCTAATGGAGCTGTACCATGGTGCTTGCTCCCCACCTGAATACATGGCCCCTGCTCTGTCCATTCTTTTTCTTAGAACACACATGGTTCTAAACTAAATGAATGGGACTAATTTGAGAAGCTCTAGAACATTGGTAGGATAGAGTAGTCAAGAGAGCCCTTCAGTGATGGACATAGGTTAGCCTTAATGTAACCGATGAAGCTGGGAAGGGTTGGCCACAGCTGCTGTCATTCGTGTGTATCAGGGCAGCCTAAGAAAAGGGCAACCAAGGAAAGCTGAATGGGAGGGAATAGCCAAGGAAGAAATATGGGGTGGGGGTGAGGGGTTGGGGAGGGTGGTGTTGGGTAGGGGTGCAGGTGGGTGGTAGCTATCAGGTTTATGGATGAGTGGTTTGGTAAGGAAGTTATCTTACTTTCTCACTTTTTCCTGCTGATTGGCTGTTCTGCTATATGTGGTGACCTTTAGGGATGCTGAAAGGAGCATCACATCCACAGGCAAATGCCCTCCCTAATCACTTGAAGGGGCTGTTTTATTCTGCTTTATTTCTGACACTAGCTTTCGTTTTTTAAAATACATACCATGCCAGTTTTGTGGCTGAAATGGAAGATGAAATTGTTTTTCTCTTGAGACCATCGTCCTGTTTGAAGACTGAGCAGATTTAGTTGGACTCTGGGGAAGGAGGGTGAACAAATGTGTGCATATGTGCTTGTGACGTGTGCATTTCTATGAGAAATAAAGGGTCTACACTGATTTCACAAGGAAAGACACAAACTAGTTAAGAGCTGATATGGTACTCTGGTCATAGTCTCTAACTTAACACTCACATTCTTATTACAAAAAATCCCCAAAATGATATTTTGAATGTCCAGGGTTGATAACATTCCCATGGAAACACAACAAGGACAGAGAATTCTGTCTGGACAGTCTCTGAAGACAGATGACCTGGACTACAAGGCCTTGTCTCAGGATGTGGGCTGGGACATTTATCCCTACCCAAGCTCTCTAGACCTGCAGGACACATGACCTAGGAAAAAGGAGACACTCAAAAGGTTTGCACAATCTGTGTTGATCTTTGGATGTACAAAAAGGGCCCAGGCATATTCCTGTTAGCTCTCTTTATCAAGTAGTTCTTCTCTTTAAGTGGCTATTAAAAACATGTGGTTTGATATGGATGCACGACTCATGAAGTTCTCAAAAATAATTATTAAATTAACAAAACAAAATTAATAAGACAAAAGTTGTGATTTTGAGGGGTATCACACAGATTCAAAGTGCTTGCTAATAGGATTGTTTATGGTTGCATATTGAAAAGAGAAATATATATTAAAGATCTATTTTATGACTTATATTTGTGCCCATGTTTCCATGTGTGTGGATGTGCATGCAGGTACCCATGGAGGCTAGAAAAAGTTGTCAGATCTTTTCGAGATGAAGCCACCCAATATGGGTGCTGAGAAACAAACCCAGGGTGTCAGAAAGAGTAACAAACACTCTTAACTGCTGAGACATTTTTCCATCCCATAAGTATAGTTTTTAAAAATGGAGCACAACATCCTAAACTTCTTGATATATTTCTTGATAGCCTTTATTCTGTAAGTGATCAAAACTGTGGTCATGCTGGATGGTCATGTCATAATCTGTAGCCATGTGGATTCTCAAATGGCCATGTAAGACTTTACTCTATTAGATGTACTATGGCTTGTTTAGTGAATCGTTCAGTGTGAAACATATGCATAGTCTCAATTATTCAAGATTGAAAAACATTGTAATGAAGTGATGAGATGATTTTAGCTATCAGACTCCTATGGTTGAAAATAATTCACACAGTAAGACCAATAGGATTTTAAAAAGCCTCTTTAATCTGAGGAAGAAATGAGATTGAATGTTACCTTGCTCATATCTTCTATTCCCTCTCTGATCCCAATTAGAGTAAACCTTTTGATGTGGGAAGCAAAGGTAAAATCATGAACTTTAGTCTGCAGAGTCTAGATTAAATCATTTATAAAGATGGGTATTCAGTTCTCACATAGAAATCTCCCATAAATGGAGCTTCCATTCCATGAAAATTATATCCCATGATAACATTCTATTATATGTCAGCTCTAGGGCAAACCTTTAACAAGTGATTGGTAGAAGAAAGGAATAAAAGGGGAAGTACAAAAGGAAGGAGCTGGCCATAATAAAGCAGAGGGGACCTGTAATAGCATCAGTGCTATTCAAAGCCCCAGAGCAAAGCTGAATAGGTTTTCCTTCATTTACTATGATTCACTGAAGGCGGGGATGGAGGGGACATCTGTAGCAAGCCAGGATCCTTTGAGAAATTTGTAGACCTGACTGTTAATCATACTCTAAACAAAAAGCCAGATATTTGTCTAGGAGTCAAGGAGGAGTCAAGAGTGAATGGCTCCAGTGCCAAGGAAGGGGCTTACTTTCAAGGTTTGTGAGGTGGTCAGTCTTGAGAGGTATTAAACAACACAGAGAATCAAACTCCAGGAGCTCCTCCATCAGAATACTGAAGCTTGCTCCCACCTATCCACCCACAATGCACTCTACTTGCTAGTAAGGCCCCCAGGAAAGCTCCTGCTGAAGAGTCATGTTCCTCACCCTATCCCCTTCATTTTTATTGTCCAGAGAGATGAAATCAAGGAACTGGAGTGAATGAAAATATGTGGAAGTATGGGTGTCTCTCTCTCTCTCCCATGTCTTTGTTTTGGTAAGACCACTAGGTTCCTGTTCAAAGAACCTTAGCAAGTTTTTATTTCTGAGCCATGATCTACCTCTTCATCATGTCCCTGTAAAGAAGAAAGAGGTAGAAGAGGAGGAGAAGAAAGAGGAGGAGGTAGAGGGGGAGGAGGAGGAGGAGAAGGGGAGGGAGCAAATAGAAAGAAAAACAGAGGAGAGGCAGAGGCCAGCTACAGACAGCAGTTAAAAGTGCAAGCATGTACAGGCTTGCACATTAATTCACAAATCTGAAATCTAAAAGGCTCTGAAGATGTCAAATCACTCATGCTATCATTTCAGATTCTGGTATCAGGGATGTTGAACAGGCTTTCAGAATGTTCTGGAAACCTTAGCTGTACTATTGAGATACTTATAACCCTAGACAAGTTCCTTTACTAACATTCCTCATTTGAAATTATGGCTAATAAAATATATAAGATTGCCATGAAGATTATACAAGGTGATGTATTTGGCAAGTAGCAGGTATTTAATTTAACAACACCAGAGCCCAATACACATGTATAATGTTTGTAATTACAATGAGCCAAACCTTAGATGAGGGAAATCACTTATGCTACTTCAGGCTTACTTATTATTATTATTATCAACATCTAGTGGGGAAGAGAAAAATGAAACAAAACAAAAGGGAAATCTGGGTTTATGTTAGAATAACAACATACTTAGAGCACCAAGTCTGTTTAAATTATTTCATAAAGAAGGGAACCTAGGGCCGGGAACATAAGAAACCTGCACAAGCTTATGTGGTTTCTTAAGAGACTATCTGGAACAGAGTCCCAGTCTTTTAATTCCTCTGACAGAAGGCAGGAGATACAGCTAAATAGTGTTCCTAGATGCCAGGGTGCCTGATGGGGAGTGGTGCTGCCATAGAAACTGACTTTGTCTACCACCTCCAAACAGGCCACAAGCCTACTCTGGAGGAGTGTGACTCCTGTTCATTCGTACTCCATTGCCTTACCCACAGGCCCTTAATAACAAGGGAATCCACATGCCTTTGATTTCTGAGATTGTCACTGAGAGTCAAGTGAGCTATAAGCAAGCTGACAGCCAGGCAGGAAGCCCTGGATGAGAGTTAATCCCCTTGCTTTACAGACACTCATCTGAAAGTGGCTGTGGGCCCCACGGAGATGAAGCAGAGCCACCATCAGCGAGCTCACCAGGTCTTCATCTGCCCAGGGAATCTCAGTTTAGGAAACATTGTCTTTGTGCATTTTTCTCTGATAGACACCACCGATACACAGTGCTTCTGACAAACTATCAGAAAAGCCCGTGGATTTGTGTCAGCCAGCCTTCTTAATGCACTCCCCAAACCAAAAATCAACTTAATTAAGTAGGGTTACTTTTTTTTTCCTGAGCAGCAATCAAACCTTAATTAATACCCTATTAAAATGAATTCCTAGGGGAACATAAACATTCATACACCAAGTGAGTTCCCCTGCCAAGGATGTTACCACACGAGATGCTAAGTGGACCTCCTTCCCATCCACTTACTTAATCACAGAGTGCCCCTTGTTAATCGGAAATGAAAAGCAACCACAGGTCTGCCATCACCTCCTCCTAGGGGACCTCTGCCCTGCCAAGTACTTTGCAGCAGGACCCCTGCCCCCTTCTCGAAGTGGTGAATGATTCTGTCTTGGATTTACCCAGATCATGTGAAGGGCAGCTCAGTTTCACTTCCCTTACTGCTCATCATCTCTCTTCCAGGCAAAGTAAACATCAATTTTCATACCCACCTCCCTGACCCTGAGCCACAGACCCTATGGAGAAGACTCAATGTGTTAAACAATTAGTAAAATAGAGCTAGTGAGATGGCTCAGTGAGTGCAAGTGCTTGCTTTCTAGCCTGATGACCTGAGTTCAAGCCCCAGGACCCACGTGCTGGAAGGAAAGTGCCAACTAGGGCAGGTTGCCCCCTGACCTCCACACTAACACAATGGCACTTACGGTATTCCACTCCCCCAATAAATGTGATAACATTTATATTACAATACACTTGCAAAGTCTAAATGTTCCTTGCTAGCAGCAAAGATGCCTGATCAAAGTCCGGTGACTGATTACTGACAGGAAGACGCAACCAAGAGGAATGGGCTATGTGGTAGGGAATTCTTGTTCACCTTCTATTTCTATACCAGAGATTTTGAAGTTCCTTGAGCTGCAGACAGAATGTTCCAGTTTGAGTCCCTAAAACCATCTACCTTCATCACTCTTCCTTCTCTAAAGAGGATGGGAGGGAATTTGCTGCATTTGGTAGTGACCTAAAGGCAGGTTGTCAGACCCAAAGTGCTTGGAGGCTTCTATTCCATAGTCCCTTAGGGCGCCAGGTAGACCTCAGTCCACTTTCCTAGGAAGCCCAACTAACCAACCCCGGGTATCACAGCCTCTCACCCCTTACCTCTTTGGTGTGTGTGTGGAAGGAGACTGACATGTCCAGGAGAAGCTTCCGCTGCTCCACCCTGCGAACAAAGTCTTGGATGCGCACCTCCAGGTGTCGGGCTGCCTTGTAGATCTCCTCCGGATCACATTCCCCAGTCTGAGCCAGCTGCTCCGCTGCTTCTAGGAGCTTGTCTGCATTGGTGTATGTATTCTGCCAGCAACAACAGTGAGGCAAAGTCAACTTGCAGCCAGGGAACAAGCTTCGCGCCTTCTCACAGCCCACCCTGGGACTCCCAGAAGAGTGGGCACAGAGGGCGGAGGCGCTGAGCCGACAGCTCCCTGATCTGGCACCACTCTGAGTGCGCGGAGCTGGCACCTCGCCTCCTAGCAGGCAAGCAGTGGGCTGCTACACACAGCGCGCACTGGTTAGGAGCCTCGCCTGCTTCTGGGATGTCTCAGAGGTGTAGCATCTCTAGAGACAAGAAGGGAGGCCTGTGAGAACCTCCATACCCCTTCTGCTTCCAATTCCCCACCCTCACAGAGCCCCTTCATTGTCCTCACATCTCAGGCTGCTCCTGTCAGAGTCGGAAGTAGCATGTCCACAAGGATTCTCTGTGCTTTTATGTGAGAACCATCAAAACACCAACTAGGAGGCTTGCTTTGCCCCCGCCCCCAGCTCCTCATCACTCTGGGGTTTATCTTTTGGAAAAGAACTAGCTTGTTGGAGGGAAGGGAAGCAGGTCACAAGGAGTGGGAGGAGATAGAGATTAGCTCCTATGCCCCAGTGCTTGGAGGCTTCTATTCCATAGAATAGGAGGAGATCTACCAGGCTGGATGCCTGCTGTTCGTTTAGCAAGGGAATCTGGTGGATTTGTTTCTCATGAGCTACTGTGTCCCATGCATACATGTGTGTGCTCATGCCTCCGACCCTGTCTGTACACAGGGTGGTATTCTCACGAACATTTCAAAAGACAATCCACTTGCAATTATTGCTCATCATGATGGCAGTCAGCGCTTTTTAAAGTAGTTATTACATTATGTGTCATGAACACAATTTTTCCTCATCAGGCTACTCTTTATTTTTTTTTTTCGAGACAGAGTTTCTCTCTGTAGCTTTGGAGGCTGTCCTGGCACTCGCTCTGGAGACCAGGCTGGCCTCGAACTCACAAGAGATCCGCCTGCCTCTGCCTCCCGAGTGCTGGGATTAAAGGTGTGTGCCACCAACGCCCGGCAAAGAAATGCATGTTTTGTTCTTTTTTTTTTTTTTGAGATAGGGTTTCTCTGTACTGTTTTGAAGGCTGTCCTGGTACTCACTCTGTAGACCAGGTTGGTCTCCAACTCACAGAGATCCACCTGCCTCTGCCTCCCAACTGCTGGGATTAAAGACGCGTGCCACCAATGCCTATCAGGCTACTCTTAATCCGACACATTCTGACATCTGGCCTGTGATTCCGGCACACATGTGTTTACCCACATCTCTCAGGTCAGCACACTGCCCTATGGCCAGGAACTGGTGCGGACTGCTGGCTGTGTGGATCTAGAAGCAGAAGCCATCAGCAAATACAAGGTGAATAGAGAGCCGAAAGAGGCTACAGCAATAACTGTATGGAATTGGGTTTGACTTTCCTGGGGACTTGAGTGTTGCAGGATGAGTTGTGGCCTAGAAACTAACACCAAGGATGACCCTCAGAAGCGACTGACCCAGATTCCTGATTACTGAGAGCATCAAGCTGATGATCAGGAATTCCCAGAGAGGTCTCAAGGGATTCCAAAGAAATGCTGCTCAACAAGCAATTGCCAACCAGGCAACTCATGGAAAAGCAACAACAATAAAAACAAACAGACGAGGCCAGTGTAAAGAAAGGGGCTTTTCTCTTCACAAACTTAAAGGATGTTAATTTTAGAAAGCAAATGAAAGAAGCCACTCAGAGTCACTGGAGAAATGCAGAGGTGAGGAGAGGTAGGGAGGCCTCTGAGGTGGAGGCCAAGTTTTAAAAGAAAAAAGTTTCTGATGGGATTGGATACAGTATTCAGTTAATAAACCCATATTTCTTGAGGAAGATTTTTTTTTCTTCAAGGATTCTTCAAATTCCTGCCTTGAACCCTAGAGAACCTCAGAAGCACAAAGAAACTAAAGGTTAGAGCCCTACATTTTATACAATAAATAATGCCTTGTTGTGACGTTCACAAAATAAATGTGTTTTGTTTGCTTGTTTGTTTGAGACAGGGTTTCTCTGTGTAGCCCTGGCGATCCAGGATCTCACTTTGTAGACCAGGCTGGCCTTGAATTCAGAGATCCTCCTTACTCTGCCTCCTTAGTGGTGGGATGCAAGGTGAGCACCACCACTGCCTACCCAAAATAAATGCATTTATAAGTTTGACTTAAAACCAATAAGAGGGGAAAAAGCAAAACAGAAGTGTCTGTTTCATGAAGGATGAGCAGCACATCCTTATTTGCTAAGCACAGAAAGTGGTCACCCTGACACTAGTAGCATCATAAGCATCCCAGGAGGACAGAAGCATGTGACATCTACTTTGTCTCAATGGAGAGTAAAACCATCATTGAGAGAAACAGCTCATAAATGAGGCAAGCAGCACAACAGATAATTAGGGGCTGAAGTTTCTTGACAAGATACAGGTGCTAAGAAGAAAATGAATAACAAGTAAGAATAACAATAGCTATAATGAGCAAGTATTTTCACCTTGCCAAGAACTATCCCAAAAGCGTATGCACAGTTCTCCTTTAATTCTCACGACAACCTATGAATTGATCCATTTTTTTTTTCATGTGAGGAAAACACAGAGAATTGCTGGTTAAGGGCCCACAGCTTCAAAATAGGAGAACCAGCATTGGCCTGCCCTGCCTTGCCCACAGCAGCAGCAGACATCTGTGAATAGATATGATTTGTCAAAAGAGGAGGAGGAGGGTTCAAAAACAAGACACTTTCTTTGTGCTCAGGGCTCTGTATGTATATTCTGTACCACAACCATTATCACACAGCAAAAGAACCATGTGTGTCCATGCCAAATGTCATACGAATCCTGTAAAGGAGAGTTCTATATCTTACTCATCTTTGGTACTCCTAGGCCAGGCACTGTGTCTGGTACACAGTGAGTATTTATCTACTGTTTATGGAGTGGATAGTAATAGAGGTGTGTGAGTGTGGTATGCCCAGATAACTGAGTCAACCTAACTAAAATTGGAGAGAGGCAGGAAATCAGGCTGAGCAGGGCAGAGAAGAGCTGGGTGACAGGTTTTATAGAGAAGGAATGATTCAGACAGGTAGAAAGGCAATGGTGTGTGTCCTAAAAGCTGCTTTGTCTATGTCCAACCTTGTCCCTGATTATTACCTGAAAGAGTTACTCAAACCCAGATCTAGCAGATCTCCTGTCTGTTTTAAAGTGATTGGTCTTGGCACTTAAGCATGGCATGGGCTTTCTTCATGTGACTTCTGTATCACATCATCCTCCTATAAATCATCTTGAAATAAACTGCTTGCCTCTCCAAACCCTTGGCAATGATTTGCTGATGCTCTGTGGTGTCTATTTCTTCCGTTTGAGATGCACTTCCTCTATTTTTCTCCATGACCAACTCTCACTCTCCTCTTAATACCCTGCCTGAGCATCACTTCCTCTGAGAACTCCTCCCTTATACTTACTGTTTTTTTTTGAAGGCAGACTTAGGAGCCCTTTTCTGGGCTCCTGAAAGTGATCTATGCTGGAAAGTGATCTATATTGCTCCTCACTCCCATGGTACCTGCATATTCTCTTCTGCTTAGGGTGAGATGATATCTCCCATGCTTTTTCCTTAGTATTCATCACCAAGAAGGTGTTCCATAAATATTAGTGACTAAATTAATGAATTAATAATCCATCAATCCCCACTAATCCTAATATTCAACTCTGATCCCCATAAATTATCTGATATAAGACTTTATATGCTAAAACTCACGTTTAGTTATTCCTTCCCACCTAGCTGATCCTACCATGTGGTTCATTCTTGAAATAAGAATCTATTTAGCCGATATAAATTAAAATATTACCAAAGACATACACTGACCTGAAATTGGAACAAGTATTGACAAGAGACTTGAGCTAACCTTCTCACCAAGTCAACAATGGGTACCGCCCCAGGCCAGACTTGACCTCACTCTGACATAACTCTTGGCATGTATTAGTTTCCCAGTCTTCTAAGCATGCCTTGGCCTTGAGCCCTTGCCTATGTTTCCCACCTGACATGCCAAAAATGCATTCAGAGCTGGCATTTTGATCTCTCAGCCACTGGTTCTTTCATATGTGGTAGCCAGAGCCTCTGAGTCATAGATTTGAGTCATACAGATGGTTAGAGGCTCTTTTGTTGTTCCTACTCCTCTCTGTATCAACCAGGTAAAATACTCCCAATAACTTATCTCTCTCATCTAGCTTCAGCTTGATACTACAGTCTTGCCTCATTACTTTTTTGTTTGCTCCCTAGGGAAGCAATGAAACGTTCTAGGGTAATTTATTTAGAACTACAGGAATTTCAGCAACACAGACATTGTTTCAGATTTCTAGGGCTAGAACAGAAGGGCAGGGGATATGGCTTTTAAAAAGCAAGGGGTGGAATAGACGGTGAATGAAAACCTGTCTGTAATTAAAGAATCAGTTTCCTTGGCAATATGGAATTAGTCCTTTGGCTTTATGTCCTGAGAGGAGAAGAGATGAGGTCTAAAGGAGCTCTTTTTATTCAAAAGTGCTAGTGCATCCTGGGAAGCAGGCTGGATAGAGGACCAGTAAGGGACCCCTCCCCTGCCACCTAATGATTATTTTCAAAGCTTCATGGCTGGAACCAACATAATTTGAAGGAAAAGAAGCAAAGGAGTGCAAGCATTGAGCTGAAAGAAGCTATAGAAACAAGGGCACTGGGAGAGCAGACTTGTCAATAAACTTGATTATGAACTGCAACAATCAAGATCATGTCCCAGACCATAATTACACTGGGATAGAGCTTTATAGCCAACAATAAGACTTTTGTTACTTCCTTCCCCTTTCTGGGACAGAATTACACAAAATTCACCTATGCATGTGAAGACCTGAATGAGGCTAGAAGAGAGACCACCAAAAGGGACCACACAGGGTAGCTGGTATCTGTTCCCACCACTCAGCCCCAAACCCTGCAAATACATGGGATATTGGTAGAGTACTCAGTAGGGTCTTGCTTTGAACAGGCAA